TCTCTCTGTGTAACTCTGACTTTCAAATAAATACATAAATCTTAAAAGAAAGTCAAATTAAAGATCATGTGAAAATTTAAAAAACTGAAACCCAACTATTCATCAAAAAGCAGACCAGTCATATAAAGTGTATCAAAAGCTACCTTCTCTGGCCTGGCACAGTGGCATAGTAAGACCACTGTCTATGGCACCAGCACCCCATAGGGCCATAGGGTCATCGGTTCATGTCCCAGCTCCTTCACTTCCCATCCAGCTCCCTGCCAATGGCCTGGGAAAAGCAGCAGAAAATGGCTAAAGTGTTTGGGGCCCCTACCATCCATGTGGGAGGCCTGGATGCTGCTCTTGGCTTTAGCCTGGCACAATAATGGCCGTTGCAGCCACCTGGGGAGTGAACCATTAGATGGAAGACCTCTCTGTCTCTCCCTCTCTCTAACTCTTTCAAATAATAAATAAATAAATAAATAAATAAATGAAGGCTACCTTCTTAGTGAGGCCTTCCCTGGCCAGCCTCTCTTAAAATCCCACCCTCTGATCTGGGCAACCTGGCACCTCCTTCCTGGCTTTGCCTCATGTTGGCTTTTATCTAACACACCACCTGTCCTACTTACTGCCTGCCCCCTCGGTGGAAGGTAAGCTCTGCGAAGGCAAGCAGGTTCCCTGTTTTGTTCACTTCTATACTTCAGGCTCCTGCCATTTACTACATTGCCATATATTAGACACTCAATAAATACTTGTTGCCTGAAACAAATACCTAAACCTCTACCAGCAAATGTTATAAAAACTGTTAAAATATTAATGGCATTTCATGACATGAGAACTATTCATAATATGGTGAGATCATGTAAACTGAATATCTAAGTTATCCAATTCTTTTTAATAGTCTCTGAACAACATTGTTATGTGCTTTTACAAAAACGTCTAGAAAAATACAGATCAGACTGTTGAGTGCTTGCCTCCTTTGTAAGGTATGCTTAAGATGTATTTTCACATTCTGTATTTTCTACATTTATGGATGATTAGATTTGTAAGAATAAAAAGCATGCACAATGCTTTAATGATTAAAAGCGGCAGAACACATATGCTTAGGAAAAGCTACAGAGAATATGGCAACATACGGTTGGCTGCTTCTGGGTGATGGGGGTTTCAGTAATGTTGCGGACCACTCCAAATCTGATTTTTACTATTTTCTTTGCTTGGAGACTTGGGAGAGGCTCAGCTGGCTGCTCCATCTCCAGCCACTTCCACAATGGTTTCCTCATACACATCTGGTGCCTTGGCTTCATTCCCCGGCTTCCTGCCGTCTGCCCACGGTTGCTCAGCCTCCAGGGCCCTCCATGTGGCTTGCACAGCTCGCAGAACGTGAGAATGTGGAGAGCTGTCTGGCTCACAGGCAGCCGGCTGCCAGGACACAGGCAGTGGGAGGCGCTCAGCCACACGAGGACTCTCTGCAGAGCAGGCAGTGCCACTTCTGCCACATTCGAAGATCCTAAGGGTCGGAGAAACAGATTCTGCCTCTTGATGGGACAGCAGCCAAGGTCCCGGGAGGGCACGGAAGATGGGAGATAACAGCGCAGCCATCCTGGGGAAATACACCCTGCCGCAACAGGGTGACCTGCACTTCTGTTTCTTCAGTACACTTTCTGCAGTTTTCAAATTTTGTAAAATGAGTATCACTTTTTTTTTTTTTTTTGACAGGCAGAGTGGATAGTGAGAGAGAGACAGAGAGAAAGGTCTTCCTTTACTGTTGGTTCGCTCTCCAATGGCTGCTGCGGCTGGCGCACTGTGGCCGGCGCACCGTGCTGATCCGAAGCTGGGAGCCAGGTGCTTCTCTTGGTCTCCAATGGGGTGCAGGGTCCAAGCACCTGGGCCATCCTCCATGCCCTCCCCAGCCACAGCAGAGAGCTGGCCTGGAAGAGGGGCAACCGGGACAGAATCTGGCACCGAGCGGAACTAGAACCCGGTGTGCCGGCGCCGCAGGCAGAGGATTAGCCTAGTGAGCTGCGGCGCCAGCCAAGTATCACTTTTATAATCAGAAAAGAACTGAATTAAAAGAAATATGCATACAGCAGTGCAAGAAAACAACAAGGTAAGGTTCCAGTTAGCTGGACCCTTCTGTGTTGCTGGGCTCATTCAATTCCATGTTTGATTCCAAGTGATCAGTCAGAAGAGGGTGAGGAGGGAGCTGGCAGGCCATTAGGCCAGCTCCAGATGCTGGGCATTCTTGTCTTCTGGCGTTGCAGAATCTGTTCCATACAAAATGGGCTGTTCCATTCAAGGACACTTTATTTGGTCTCTTAAATTTCTTTTTGCCACGGTCACAATGAAAATCTACAATACTGGGGCCAGCATTGTGGCACAGCAGGTAAAGCTGCTGCCTGCGATGCCAGCATTCCATATGGGCACTAGTTTGAGTCTCGGCCACTCCACTTCTCATCCAGCTCCCTGCTAATGGCCGGAGAAAAGCAGTGAAGATGGCTCAAGTGCTTACGCCCCTGCTTACACTGTGGGAGACCCGGAAGAAGCTCCTGGCTCCTTCCTAGCTTTTGCCTGGCTCAGCCCTGGCTATTGTGGCCAGTTGGGGAATGAACCACTTGATGAAGATCTCTCTCTCTCTGTTTCCCTCTCCCTTTGTAATTCTGAGTTTCAAATAAAATAAGTAATTTTTTTTTAAAAAAAGGAAAATCTGGGGATGGCACTGTGGCACAGCAGGTTAAGCCACTGCCTGCAGCACCGGCATCCCATATGGGCACAGAGGTGTTCAAATCCCGCCTGCTCTACTTCCGATACAGCTCCCTGTTAATGTGCCTGGGAATGCAGCAGAAGATGGCCCAAATGTTTGGGCCCCTGTACCCATGTGGGAGACCTGGAAGAAGCTCCTGGATCCTGGCATTGGCCCTGGCCCAGCCCCAGCCATTGCAGCCATTTGGGGAATGAACCAGCGGATGGAAGATCTCTTTCTCTCTCCTCTTTCGGTAACCCTTTCAAATAAATACATCTTCAAAAAAAATCTACAATACTGATTAAATTAACAAATATTCCCTGATCATCCATGCATAAGGCTCTATTTGGGAGTGAGCTGAACAGTGTGATAATTCATAGAATGTTTATATGCAAAACAGTTGGGGTTAGGCCAGGTTGAAGCCAGGAGCCAGGAGCTTCATCCAGGTCTCCCACATGGATGGAAGAGACCCAAGTGCTTGGGCCATCTTTGCTGCTTTCTCCCAGCTATTCACAGGGAGTGGGATGGGCAGTGGAGCAGCTGGGACTCGAAGCAGTGCCCATATGGGATGCTGGCAATGTTGCAGGCAGTGGTTTACCTCATGGTACCACAATGCCAGTCCCAGCAGGTGTGAAAAATCACAGTCTACTTTTAGGAGCATAAGTAGAAAAGGAAAAGTAGATCCAAGGCGGGGGGCACTTTCAATGCCAAGGTAAGGAATATGGGCCATTGTGCAGGCAAGCAGCCCCTGGTTTCTGGAGGGACAAGTCTTTGAGAACTTTGCATGTTGGCAGTGGTGTATACCATGGTTCACAGAGGATACTCAGGCAGCGGGACTGGGCAAGGACTGTAAGAACAATATGAGAAACTAGGGCAGGGGAGAGGCAGGCATGGAGACGCAGGGGCCCCGGGAAGGCCTGAATCTGGACAGACTGGGGAGGAGACTCACAGGAGAACTCAAGGCTGCAAGCCGAACCGGGAGGTCAGTGAGACTGAAGGAGACCAGCAGTGCTGCATGGGTTTCCAGGCTGTGTGAGGCACCTGGGAGCAGCCCAGTGCAGGCACCCAGCAGGCTGGAGCCCAGTCCTACCGGGGGAAGCCAGCCTTGCACCTGAGGGGTACCGCTGCACAGGGAGACTGAATGGATCCGGGCAAGCAGGAAAAAGGGAGTGGGTGGGAGTCGGGGAAATGCTTTCTCAGAAGGGCAAAGCTGGCTGAGAGAGGTGGGAGGAGAACCGAGAGATGAGAGAACAGAACTGAAAAAGAAGCTGGTGTCACATGCAACAGACAGCTCAAACAGGGAGACCACCAAGGGTCTCTTCCTGCTGACCTTGTTACCTTCTTGGCAGGCATAACTGGTGCATCAGTTAAAGCAGTGACTGCTTAGATCAGTGCCTCTGTCCAGGGCCAGTGCTGTGGCACGGTAGGTGAAGCTGCCATCTGCAACATCGGCATCCCACGTGAGAGTGGTTCAAGTCATGGCTGTTCTACTTTGCCGATCCAGCTCCCTGCTAAGGTGCCTAGCAAAGCGGTGGAAGATGGCCCGAGTACTTGCATCCCTGCATTCATGTGGGAGACCCCAGGAAGCTCCTGGTTTCAGTCTGGCCCAGCCCCAGCCACTGTGGCCACTTGGGGAGTGAACCAGCAGATGGAAGATTCCTCGTCTCTCTTCAAATACACATTTCTTTTTCTTTCTTTTTTAAGATTTATTTATTTGAAAGGCAGAGTTATGGAGACAGAGAGAAAGTGAGATCTTCCACCAGCTGATTCAATCTCCAAACGGCTGCCCACCGCAGGAGCTGGGCCAGTTGGAAGCCAGGAGTTTCTTCTGAGTCTCCCACGTGGGTGCAGGGGCCTAAGCGTTTGGGCCATCTTCAGCTGCTTTCCTAGGCAGTTCCCATGGAGCTGGTTCAGAAGTGGAACAGCCAGGACTAGAACCAGCGCCCATATGGGATGTTGGCGCCACAGGCAGAGGCTTAGCCTACTACACCACAATGCCAGACCCAAGTGTCTATGGTTTTAAAGAAAGCCATTCATTTTCATCTTTCATCTCAACCACCCCTCTCACTACGACCAACTGCTCCCCTTTCCTGGGCCCTTCCTCTGACCAGCAGCATGGAGCTGTACCTGGTGACCAGGCCCGGGATCGCAGCTGCAGGGACAGAGGCCACTGGCATGCCGGGGCTCCCTGCCCCTTGGAGCCACCGCTGCTCTGGGTCCTCCCAGCCAGAGTCACTGCACCTCACACCCTTCCCAGAGAACTACCGTTTACACCAAGAGGTTTACAAAATCCAAAATACTTTTATTCACTTTTTCAGGTTTTCGCTTCCACAAGGTGTTCAGCAAACATGCTAAGGTGACAGAATGTCTAGTGGGTCACGACATGCAACGCTGACCTTCCCACTGATGACAGCAGCAACCACGCCCACCTGAGCTACGGGCCCCACAGCACAAAGGGGGTTTTGCAGGGACACACGACGAACCACACGGCCATCAGCAACCTGAGGTAGGTCTCTTTACAGTACAAAAACTTCTACGCCAGTGTGAGACACTGATCAGCAAGAGCTGCTTAAAGTGGCAGACTTTGGAGAGAGAAGGAGACTGTGCGACCACTGCAGTGAGAAAGGAGAAGTCAGACCCATGAGATCCTGAACCCTGTCACTGAGCTGTGGAGGTGCGGGAACAGGCCAAGGAGGAAGTACCCCCTGGAGAAGCGGCGGCTGGCTCCAGGGCTCCCAACCAACAGGCTCGGAGGCTGGGGGCCACCAGCCGTGGCCAGCGTTGGAACCTGAGGCAGTGGGACACTCGTGAACAGACTGACTCTCAGTTAGAAACGACGACAGAACGAGGAAGGCAGGAAAGAAACTCCCTCCCTCTCCCACTGAGGAATGCTTCTGGGAGTTTCATTCCTGATGGAGGGAGGGGACGGGGGTCTGGGGCTCGGCCCCGCTGCTCCGTGGACACAAACAGGAAGCGACGCCAGGACAGTAAGCAGGAGCCCTGAGAATCCACGGCGCCCTGCAGGCCTCGGCAGCCTGCCCGCCTCTGGCACGGCTGCGGGAGGCAGCAGAGGGGCTGCTGGAGGGCCTGCTCTCGCCGCACGGCTTCCTTTGGACTCCCAGGCAACCCAGCACTGTGCCACCACCAGCTTGAGGAGAATGAAATGCTACCCTTCCTACAGTCTAACAGCAAAGCCGGGTCTCCAGTACAGCAAACCGTACAAAAAAAATGAGAGAGGAATACGCAGTGTGATTAGCACACTGCTTCGCTTTAATATAAAATAAACAGCTTACATTTTCACTGTAAATATAGGCTATGTACAGAATTATATATAGATATAGCTACACGTATAAAGCTTCATTATAGGCCTCTGATACATTTATAATCATGGTTCCCTGAACCTTTTAGAGTGCAATTAAGAATAAAAACTAAATTTCGTTTACATGAATATGGAATAAATACAATAATCAAAATATGGACTCTCCCTAAAAGTGAAACACACAAGCCAATCCTGAACCGCTGTGCGAAAGATAAAGTCGGGAAAGGCAAGGTTTCGGCAGGAGGACGCGATGAGGGGCCTGCCCCAGGCGGGGAGCGGCAATGCTCCAAAGAAAAAAAGACGTCGTGGACAGGAGGAGTCAGCCCTTGACTGCGACCTTGTTCTCTGCAGCAGCAAACATGGCATAGAACCGGGAGCTGTCATTGGACAGAAGGACCGATGGGGTGTCAAACTCCACCACCTGCAAAAGAAGGAGACGGCGTCAGGCTGTGAGCGTGCAGTCAGGGGACAGCTCAGCTAGCCCTGCCTGCCCGTTTCTTTTCACTAGCCAGCGTGTAGGGCAAAGGTCAGGGAGAAAGACCTGCATGCCTCCTTTGGAGAAATCCCATTCTTCCAGCCTTGGGAATGACGGACTCAGAGAGCAAGGGCCTATGAACTGCAAGGGGAGAAGTCGCAGCTCAAGTCCAGGGCACAGAAGATAAATGGCGTCCTGCTGTGCAAGCCGATGCACCCCTAGAGTGCAAAGGAAGCACTCAATACACCTCACTGGCAGCAGAGGAAAAGGAACGGGTCAACTTAGCCAGCTGTCTGTTCCCACGGTGGACTTCGGTGCAGCCATGGGAGATCACACTAAGCTGAACCTGGAAGGAGATGCTGGCACCACGTGTCTCCTGTGACAGAGGCTGAAAATGCAGGCACTTATCTTCCCAGCCTCCCTGGCCAATGGGGAAAGGCAGGGGACACCACCTTGGCCAAGGAGATGTGGGCAGAGTCTGCTTGGTCTTTCTAAGAAAAGTGGCCTGCACGGTGGGGAGGGCATGAGGAGGAAGAGGAAGTGGGTGTGCAGGAAGTGGCATTGGGTGCTGGAGCAGACATACCACAGTAGAGAGGACGGGCAGGCACTGGTAGAGCCGGACGACACTGAGCTACAGGAAAACCAACACTCTGCACCCCCGCCCCCCCAAGGCAGACAAGCAACCCCTGCTGCCCAAGCCGCTTTTGGTCTGGACGTCTGAGGCTATGCAGACAGCATCCATCTGTTGGCACCTGCATGCAGACATGCATGAAGAACACTGGCAATGCAGTGCGATGCTCATCTCCAGGGGGTTATGCTTTCGTACATTTTAGATTTTCTTAAAATTGGAAGGAAATTTAATTAATGAGAAAAAAAATTCAGGGAAGTGAAAGGCAGGGTCTCTCATGAAGAGCCAAGTACTGGGACAGGCACTGTGGCAGAGTGGGTAGAGCCACCACCAGCAGCGCCGGCATCCCATATGGGCGCCGGTTTGTGTCCCGGCTGGGTTTTCCACTTCCGATCCAGCTTTCTGCTATAGCCTGGAAAAGCGGTGGAGGATGGCCCAAGTCCTTGGGCCCCTGCACCCACATGGGAGACCTGGAAGAAGCTCCTGGCTTCGGATCGGCTCAGCCGTTGCGACCAACTGGGGAGTAAACCAGCGGATGGAAGACCTCTCTCTCTCTCTCTCTCTCTGCCTCTCCTTCTCTCTCTGTGTAACTCTGACTTTCAAGTAAATAAATAAATCTTTAAAAACAAAACAAACAAACAAAAAGAGCCAATTACTACCCACTCTAAAACAATACTGAGCCCTCCCGGAAACAAAGCCGTCTGGACGTGTGTGACTTTAAGAAAGGAGTCTCAGTTCCTTCCAGCTGATTTTATGATGCTCTACGTAACACCTACACACAGAGCTGTGCACCCAATGTGTAACAGAGTCTCAGTAAATATTTGGAGGAGGCAAACAAATTCAGTCTCAAAATGCTAAATAACTTCAAGACAAGGAGAAAAATCATTACTCATCCCTACATTCTCTCAACTCAGCCTTGAGACCTGGGCTGAACATGCCCACTAAATGCTCTTCCCAGCACCTCCGAAAATTGAGGGACAGTGCAGGCTGGTGGTTCACGCAGTGGCTGAGTTCAGTCCCAGCTCATCACTTCCTATGGACCTGACATAGGTGAAGCTCCCCCCTCATCTGGGAAGCAGAGTTAACAATATCTGTAAGAAATGTCAGTAACAGTAGCTATTATGGTGGCCTTGGTTGTGAACAACAGAAGGCAGGGAACTCTTATCAAAGACTCGTTATTTCTGCCAAATCACCAATTTACCTCCATTCTAGAGGCACACAAAGGAGGTATCTGCCAAGCATAAGTTTACTTGACATCAGCCTGTGCAAAGAACCGTAGATCTGCCGGGGATCTAAAGATGAGGGAGGCAGGACCCTGCCCCGGAGCTCACAGGGAGCACTCCAGGGACATGGGACATCACAGTTCCCAAGAAATGAGCCAGGAGAGCAGCAAGAGGGCTACAAGGTTTGAGGCAATCAGGGGGTCTCCTGAAGGCTATGGCATTTGAGCCATGTCTTTCTTTAGGGACGTAAGGAGGTGGCTACAGAGGAGTGAATGAGGGGATGGGGCAGTTTAGGGAGAAGGAACTGAGTAAAGACGGATGACAGAGCTTAGAGGATGCAGGACTGCTTACAGCCCATAGTACTTGCAATGGAGGGGCAGGAAGTGAAGATTAGGCTAGGGCTCGACCATGGCAAAGCCTGGAACAACAGGATAAGATGGTGGGCACCACTGGGACGGGAATCTGGCCCAGCGGTCAGGATGCTGCTTGGGACGCCTGCATTCCATATCTGAGTGCCCGGTTTGAGTCTTGGCTACCCCACCTCTGACCCAGCTCCCCGCTAACATGCACCCCGAGTGGCAGCAGATGATGGCTCAAGTAGTTGGTTCTCTGCCACCCATGGGGGAGTCGCAGATACAGTCCGGGCTTCCAGCTTTGGCCTAGCTCAGCCCTGGCTGTTACAGACATTTGGAGTCAGTGGATGGAAGATCCTCCCCCCTCCCCCTTTTCAAATAAAATGAAGGGGAAAAAAAAAAGTCTAGCACAGTCATATAATTGGAAGTCACTAAGTACACGTGTTCTCTGATCTCAGCCAGTGTCCCAGATTACAGGCAGCAAAAGAGCCAGCAGTGAAGCCCAGTGAAAGCCCAAGGGGAGTGCACTGGCGAGAGCAGCATCCCTCCCCAGGGCAACCAGGGCAACCAGGGCAACCAGGGCAACCAGGGCGCGGCTGCTAGGGATGCTTCTCTGATGTGTCGGCAATCAGCCCATCCCTGCCAGGTGCCAGATCTCCTCCCATGGGAAGCCACAGCCATTCAGAGGTGCCTGCAGGGCTCGGTACCTGTCCTTGGGCCAGCACCATAATCCTATCAGATCCGAGAACCGTATGTAGGCGATGGGCAATCGTCAGCATGGTGCAGTCTGCAAAGGCTTCTCGGATGGTCTCCTGAATCAGCAAGTCTGTCTCTGTGTCCATGGCAGCTGTGGCTTCATCTAAAATCAGAATCTGCCCGTGGTGCAGGGGAAGGGAGAGAAGAGAGATCAAGTAAATTCCTTAGGCATCTGGTTAACTGAGGTTTGGCTGAAATGTATTTTGTTATGTAAGTTGTATACCACATCTTGTTCTTTCCAAGTAGTTACACACGTATGTTAAAATGCCCCTTTGTCTAGAACCACTCTAACTTTAAACCTCTGTGTTTACCTTGATTTCCACTAATAAGATTTGTGACTTGCACTGATCTCAGCAAATACTTGCCCCTACTTGCCCTGTGACACTGAACATGACATTGCTTTCTGGAGCTCCTTTTTTCCTGCTGGTGAAATGCAGGGGCTGGATTCGATGACCTGAAAGTCTCTTCCATGTCTACAGCTTGCAGCACTACCACCCCTCTCTGGCCAGAAATGAAGTCACCCCTGGACACCGAAGGCTCAGGGAGTTAAAAACAAAACTACCTCCTCCCGAAAACCCATGTGCTCCAACTGCGCCAAGGTTACTTTAGAAACATCTCAGGCACGCTCTTGGAAAGCACCAATGGGCTCAGAGGAGAAACCCTGAGACCCCAGGGCCTCAATGACTTTGTTCTCTGCTGCTCCCCTGCCCAGTCACCCATGACTACCTTACCTTACAATGGCGGAGCAAGGCCCTTGCTATACACAAGAGCTGCCGCTCCCCTACTGAGAAGTTATCCCCGTTCTCCATCACTTCAGATTCGAGTTTCAGAGGTAGCTGAGTGATCTGTGGAAAAGGAATACAGAGATGAGAAGGGTAAAACACCAAACTCCGTGTTTCAAAAAATCCAGGGGCAAAGAGAAGCGAAACAGTCATGAAAGAATTATTAGCCAGGGCCAGCACTGTGGCGTAGTAGGTTAAGCCTCTGCCTGTGGCACCAGCATCCCATATGGGTACCGGTTTGAGTCCTGGCTGCTCCACTTCTGACCCAGCTTCCTGCTACTGCACGGGGGAAAGCAGCAGCAAAAAATGGCCCAAGTGCTTGGGCCCCTGCAGCCACGTGGAGGAAGTTCCTGGCTTCAGATTGGTCAGCTCTAGCCATTGTGGTTATTTGGGGAGTAAACTAGTGGATGGAGAACCTCTCTCTGTCTGAAACTCTGCCTCTCAAATAAATAAGTAAATCTTAAAAAAAAAATACAATTTCTAGCCTGAACTTGGCTCATGTGGAAGGAAGGTACAAATGTGATGACCAGGTGGATTAGAACCCACATTTGCTAGGTCAGTCTGTGTCTCAAATAATTATGTTAGCATCGGTCATTCCATCAGAAATTCCAATGTGCTCATGTCTCTCAAATACTGTCAGATAGTGTGCCCTCATTTTTAGTTTTAAAATATAGTCATAGGGGGCTGACACTGAGGTATAGCAGATAAAGTTGCCGCCTACAGTGCTGGCATCCCATATGGGCGCTGGTTAGAGTCCTGGCTGCTCCACTTCCCATCCAGCTCTCTGCTATGGCCTGGGAAAGCAGTAGATGATGGCCTAAGTCCTTGGGCCCCTGCACCTGTGGGGGAAACCTGGAAGAAGCTCCTGGCTCCTGGCTTTGCACTGGCATAGCTCTGGCCATTGCGGCCATTTGGGAACCAGCAGATGGAAGACCTCTCTCTCTCTGCCTCTGCCTCTCTGTAACTCTACCTTTCAAATAAATAAATAAATAAATCTTAAAAAAAAAAAAAAAAAGGCCAGCAGCTTCCATCAGAAGGCAAGAAAGAACAATACTTACAAAACAGTATTATGGAACTCTGAGAAGCTGTCACCAACATCTTCGTCATCAATGGACAGTACAAGGCTACTACGACCAGGGACAGTGCTGGGGGGGTCGGGGGAGGTCTACTTCTATAGCACATCTGCAATGCCTGGGAAGCCCTGCTCTGAATCCCCTCCACAGACAAGCTGGAGGCGGAGGGAGAGGCTGCAACAGGCCAGGGAGTGCTGCCACCCCCACCACACCCGCCTGCGGTTCCAGCCCGGCTGCCCGCACGGCTCTCTGCGCCGCTTCACTTACACATTCTTTCATGTGTGTCCTTTCCAGGGCGTCCCAGATCTGATCTTCTGTGTACTGGTTGAAGGGGTCCAAATTTGACCTGGGGAGAAATGACAGTAATTTCTCAGGGGCCAACACCACCAAGTGACCAGATTTCTACAGCTGCCTGGGGGAAAAGTTCCCAGCACACACGTGGGAAACGGAACACCCCAGTTATGAGGGTCACAGATGACCCAGCCCCTAGCAGAACAGCCTCCCTTTCTTTATAAAACCTGATTGACCCAACTTTTGTTATTTTTAGATGGAAACAAGTTATAGAAAATTTTAAAAACACAGACATGCAAAGCACCAAACAAAAACCAATACATGTTTTAATTCCCTCTACTGATCTTCCTAGAAACAAACACTTTTAGTATTCTGGATCCTCCCTAGGATCCTTCTATGCTTTTTCTATACGTATGTGTTGGAATACATCTCTATGTGCAAACTTAGACACGCTCCCTCCTTTTCCCTGATGCACAGCTGACAGCCCTGTGGCTGAGAGAGACACGACAGAGAGGAAGGGATCTGGCTGGTACAGAGCTTGGGGACTGTTCTGGCTTACTCAACTACGTCCATCTCAAGGAAGTCAAGGATAACATACAAAAGAGCAGGACTGGCATTTCTGGAAATGTTAAAGACAGGAGAGATCTTTGTCACAGAGAATGTGAGTGGAGAGGTGGGAAGTTAGGATGTTCCGGTTTTGGGGAGCAGTCTTGGTCTCACTCCAAACATACTCTTTGTAGGTCTGGTCATCCAAAAAGTACTGGGCACAATCTGTTTTGTTCATAAGATTATGCTTGGATAAACGTGTGCGTTAGCTCCAAGCCACATTTGTCTCCACGGCTTGGGCTGCTAATCAGGGGCACACGAATGCAAGCAGGTGGGAGGGTGATCAGGCAGCGCTGGGCTTCGTCCCGCCATCTCTGCCCTCGCCTGGAGCTGACCAGCCCTGTTCTGCGCCTCTTGCTCTGTGCGCATGTGCTTTCCACCTGCGCCTGTCTCCCCCTAACCTTCTGCTTAGGAGAAACCGGTACAAGGCAGGGCCCTGGAGCCACACTGTGTGGATTCCTATGCAGGCTCCATCAATGACCAATCTTCTGGTGTGACCTTGGCCAGCTGACCTGACTTTTCCCCACTTCCTGGATCTCAAAATGTGAGGACCACGTTTTGCTCTGAATAGGCAGCTGTGGCTACACCTGGCACAGGGCTAGCACTGTTGTCCCTGGCTGTGATTCCTCTTGTCCGTCAGGTCTCAGCATGGATGTTGCCATCAGGGAGCGAATGTCTCCTGACCCATTCGGCCCACAGCAGCTGTCTCCTGAGCTCCCTCTCCACGTGGCACTCACCCTCTCTTCACTGTGTGGCTCTTACTTCGTAGCCCAAGCACTAGCACACTGATTGGACTTCCTTGTGTGAACAAAACCATCTATCCATTCCTTATCCTTATTTGACTTCTTACTAGCAGGCATCCAGATGTCACAACTTCTACATTTTCTGTAATTACAGAGGCAATTACAGTGGAGGAGGAAACACGTGCACAGACAGGATCTGGGCAGATTAGGATCAAATGGCAGCTATTCCAAGTCCTCATCTATAAAATGGGGCAAAGTGCTACTGCTAGGCAGCTTGCTGTGAATACTGAGGCAGCATATGCACGGTGCTGGAACACAGCAGACACTGTAACTGACAAGGTCCATGTGGCCACGTCAGACACCTGGCTTTAACACTTGGTGCTCTGCTGTCTCATCTGAGATCACTCAGTGCATTTTTCAAGCAGACCCAGTAACCAGCAGCTCCTGAATACGGATGAGACATCCTGACAGCGCCCTGTGTGCGAGAGGTCAGGCTGGGGAAGACTGCTGCAGCGTACCATCCAGAACTCTCCCGGTTAAAGGTGGTGGTCTCGCTGCTGGCCCCCAGCGTTGCTAAACGCAGACCAAGGGCTAAGTCTATGGAGGAGTTCACAGGCTTCCAGCCAGAAACACAAAGCGGAGAGACTCCTAATCCTCCTGGTCCCTGGGCCAGCTGGGAGTCTGCCCACACACACGCCTGGACCGATGGAGATCAGGGTTGATGCCTGTTACGGAACCCTCTCCACACGCACACCAACAGCTTCGGGCAGACAGAAACAGCGCTCTCTGTGCCGAGTGTCAGGCATAAGGGTTAGTCACACCTTTGCCTGCTTTCACACAGACTGCTGGGAATTTCCAGGGCAAGGTGAGCAACACCACCCGAGTGACATTTATCTGGTGGCAATGCAAGTTTTCACAACGAAACAAGTGCTACTCGGACTCAAGACTAGGATCTCTGCCCTTTGGGGAACGTGACGGGGCCCCACTGTTGATCCAAAATCCTCAGAACTCCTTTCTTAAAGAATCATTTTAGAGGCTGGCCCTGTGGCGCAGTGGGTGAAGCTGCCGCCTGCAGTGCCGGCATCCCATAGGGGCACTGGTTTGAGTCCCGGCTGCTCTACTTCCACTCTAGCTCCCTGCTAATGGTCTAGGAAAGCAGTGGAAGGTGGCCCAAGTGTTTGGGTCCCTGCACCCACATGGGAGACCCGGATAAATCTCCTGGCTCCCGGCTTCAGGATGGCATAGCAGCAGCTATTTGGAGAGTGAACCAGTGGGTGGAGGACCTCTCTCTCTCTCTCTCTCTCTGTCTCTCCCTCTCTCTGTAACTCTGCCTCTCAAATAAATAAGTAAATCTTTTAAAAATCATTTTTTAATTAAATTATTTACATAACAAGTTCCTCGGCGCTCTTCACAAGAGTCCTTGGGGAGTCCATACCCCAGCCGGAAAGAAGGGGCTGCCTGCACTACTGCACCTGATCCAGCAGAGGTCCCTGCTGTTCCCAAACACCGATCCTGTCCTGCTTTGCCTGGTCTCCTGCTCTGAGCATCAGAGGAGCCAGTGGCCCTGGGCTGGACCCACAGACAGAAACCAAAGCCAAACTGAGCATCCATGAGTTCAGCTGGGCTGACTGAAAGAAAAGTACCCAACAATGAGGGCGTGTATTTCTTAACAAACTCCTGAGCTCCTGATGTTGCCAAGAGTGTTTCATCATTTTTTTTTTAAAGATTTATTTACTTATTTGAAAGTCAGAGTTAGAGAGAGAGAGAGAGAGAGAGAGAGAATCTTCCATCTCCTGGTTCATTCCCTGAATAGTGGCAATGGCCAGGGCTAGGCCAAGCAGAAGCCAGGAGCCAGGAGCCTCGTCTGTGTCTCCCACATGGAAGCAGGGGCTCAAGCACTTGGACCATTTTCTGCTGTTTTCTCAGGCCATCAGCAGGGAGGCGGATCAGAAGTGGAGCAGCCGGAGACACAAACTGGTGCCCACATGGGATGCTGTCACTGCGGGTGGCAGCTTAACCTGTTACACCACAATGCCAGCTCCCGTGATTGCATCTTTGGTTCGCCGTATCTTATGTTTAGCAACACCCTAGGTCAGCCTACTGGCCAGGGCGGAACAGAGCCAAGCACATCTCCCAGCGTGCGAGGCGGTGCAGCAGCTCACTCTCAGCACAGGGAGGATGCAGTGCGCAACCGCTCTGCCCTGTCGTCTGCGAGGGTGGCTCCTTGGTGGCCTTGGTCCTCACGGACCTCTTTCCATCAGGCAGCGCAAAGAAAGATCAAAATAGCTTTTCAGACACGGGGCCCTATTTTGGCTTTTAGTTGTTGAGAATAAAATTAAACTCCTTGCGGCGCCGGCACACCGGGTTCTAGTCCCGGTCGGGGCGCCGGATTCTGTCCCGGTTGCCCCTCTTCCAGGCCAGCTTTCTGCTGTGGCCAGGGAGTGCAGTGGAGGATGGCCCAAGTGCTTGGGGCCTGCACCCCATGCGAGACCAGGAGAAGCACCTGGCTCCTGCCATCGGATCAGCGCGGTGTGCCAGCTGCAGCGGCCATTGGAGGGTGAACCAACGGCAAAGGAAGACCTTTCTCTCTGTCTCTCTCTCTCACTGTCCACTCTGCCTGTCAAAAATAAATAAATAAATAAAAATAAAATTAAACTAAGGAGGAAAGTAGAAGAAATGAGAAATCTCGACTCAAGGGAGCAGCAGAGATTGTGTGGAGATTTTTCTCAAGCTTGGGAGAGGCAGATGGAGAAAGCAAGGTGACTAATGCCGAGACCCCCGAGGAGGCAGGCATAGCTCTGGTTTCTAAGAGACGGGATCTTTCTCCCCAGGTGCTGGCGGACAGCAGCTCAGTACACAATACGGTGAGTCACCACCAGACCCCGCAGCCAGCCAGCCCCGGGTCAAATCCCGGCTCAGTACTTTGAGCTGTGTATCTTTGGCCTCTCTGGATTTCAATTTCATCATCTGTGCAGTGGTCACAGTGGTGCCTGCCCTGGTAGAGTTTTGAATGTTTGAATAATATGACTAAAATGCGCAGGACCGTATCTGGTGCACAGTGCATCCTCACAAGCCCTGCGACTGTCACTGTGGCCGTGTTGCTGGCAGAAGGGCAGGGCTGTTAGAGGGAATTCTCTGCACGCGTCAGACCCCCTCCAGCACTTTCAGACGGAGCCACCAGCCTCAGCGTTGCTTTCTGACATGGAGATTGGGAACTCTGGGGATTCCCAAGGTCTACAGAGATGAAGACTGTCACGAAAGGGAAATGGGGTTCCCCTAAAGAGCAACGACTCAGAGACAACCGAAAGACCTCAGGACCCACTCGCGTGCATCCACAGTACCGGAGCCTTCTGCCTGAAGGCGGTCGAGGCCCAGGATGGACCCAGCTGAACGGGTCGGCGCCGGCTCAGTTATTTCAGCTGTGACTGAGAGTGGAGAGCAGGAGATATTCCTTCAGAGACATGTAATTGGAGATCGAGAGAGAGCGCGGGCGCCCGGATATGAAGAACGACAGTGCTGCTTCTTGCTGCTGAGCTGGTGCCAGGCACATCTGCCTCGCATCGCCCACAGGGACCGAGACTCAGAGGCATGGCAAGTGACAGCTGGGGATGACCAGTGTTGCTGTGGAACAGATCAGCCACCAGGCTAGCAAGGCTGCAGCCGGCCTATGGGATGCGACACACTCAGCAGGGATGAGGCCAAGGCCAGGGCTGGGCTTCCCCAGACCAGAAAGGGGGAGGAGAGCAAAGCACTGCAGGGCCAGGAGTAAGGAGGCCAACCAAAGGGCAGGGCCTCAGTCAAAGGGGTCTCTCCTTCTGGGACCAACTTGTCATGGCAGAAAGGAGAGGAAAGACATGGGCCACAGAAACCCAGGCCTGAGAGCTTCCGAGCCACACAGACCCATGGGGAGGCCAGCTGATCCGCCCTGGCCTTGGGGACCTCCGCACCGGCTCTCTCCACCTTCTAAGACAATGAAAGGACACTGCAAGCAGAGTGTGCTTTGAGATCCATGAGGAACCATGGGGACAGGAGAAGGAGGATGGGGAGGAGGGCAGGTCTGGGAAGTAATTTCCCTCCAGGTCTACTACGGGCAAAGCCAGAATCAGGGGTGGTCGAAAGTTAAACTTCCGCGGCTGTCTCGGTTTGCAAAGCCGACTGCCAAGTGGCACTCTGAGCTCAGCATCGCTGAGAGCAGCACACAGCCGCTGAGCTTGTCCACACAGCAGCAATCCCTCCTCTGGGGAGGGTCACAGGCCGTTCCGGGTCCAGGAGCGCCGCACTTCTGTGCTGGGCACAACCCCAGCTGCACTTGCCCCCTCCAGAACTCAGCCGCTAACCTCTGAAACCGCCAAGGGAGCCTCTTAAAATGAAAATGCGGACAGCGTTTTCAAAAGAGGTCTTGACATGCTTTTTTTCTTAGTTCTCTTCTAAGTCATGATTTAAAAAACAAAAACCCAAACAAACAAAATACAGTTGTTTTGTTCTGCTCCAGAAAGTATAAGGCCAATTTTTTCTCCAAAGTGTTCCTGGGGCATTTAAACACAGAGACGTTCACGGGGCGAGCACATCTGGCACCGTATTCAAATTTCTCAATTTTAGACTAGAGAGTTCAATAAATACTACCTCTCTTCTGATGTCATGTGTTTGTCAGGTCCCCAAAAGGGACGACTGATTATCGTCAAGAGGTCTAGGATGGCTGCCCACATCCACTGAGAGAAATGGTAAAAAACACACACCCCACGTGTTGCGCCCATATAAGACTGTGTTAAGTGGCCAGCCAGGAGGAGGGGTCTGCTTTTTGGCCTGCTGGCAGGGTTCAGAGACATCATGCCAGCGTAGGTATCAGAGGCACGGGAGGACACTGGGCACACACAAACACGAGTAGTAATAATGTTGGAAAGCCATCGCTAGAACTGCAGCTCTTGGCGTAAGTAGGAAAGACCAGAGTGGAGTGAGGGCAGGTGCAGCGCGATGGTGAGGAGGCTGTGACAGCGGTGCTGCGTACTGAACACTTACCACCTGCCAGGCTCTGTGCTTGGATGCCTTCTATGAACTCAACCTTCACGATGAAAGGGCCTCAAAGTCTCCCCATTTTAAGAGGAAACAGGCTTAGGAGCATTCACTTGTCCAAAGTCACGGGGCAGTACTCTGAGCCCAAATCTCTCCGGGCTCTTTACTGCACACTGCAGGCCTCCCTGCCCCACCCACCTCCACAGTTACTAACGTGACGTGCACCCTGAGTTCCCTCACATTCCCGTGTGCAATGGGAAGCACACGGTATAGTGGGAAAGGCACCGGCCCAGGGTCATAAGAACTTGGTCCCGGGCGGAGGCCCTGGCCTCCTGCGGCCCCATGTGCCCGCCACCTGCCCGCCGCCTGCCCGCTCAGTGAGGCATGAGTCCCGCGAAGCCCCGTCCTCACCTGACAGTGCCACTGAACAGCACCGGCTCCTGAGGAATGATGGAGAGCTTGCTCCGGAGGTCGGCGAGGCCGATGCCGCTGATTCGCACTCCGTCGATCTTGATGCAGCCCCCGGACAGCTCCACCAGCCGGAAGAGGGCCATCCCCAGAGAGGACTTCCCTGGCGAGTTGGGAGACGGGCAGAAGAGGAGCTTTGTTAGCGAATTTGGTGAGGACATCCGGGGGCCCTCAGGGAAAACTCTTTTTTTCTGGCTCTACTCCACCATGATTTCGGATGACTGACTCAGGTCACGCACAAAACGCTATCAGGAACAGAGGAGAGCAGTTTGCTGCCCTGAGCTGCCAAGTAGACACATGTAAGCCACACAGCTCCTGCTGAGGAGTGGGGGTCGCTGCCCTGCCGAGAGAAGGATGGAAGAAATAGGCCTGCCTTCCACCTCCAGAACAGGTGCACAGGGCCCAACACCTCTTGGGTACAGGGAGCAGAACAGGGTTCTTACAGCAAACCCCTGGCTGGTGAGCCTGAGGTGTATTCTCTCTGTCACCTTGTTGTGGCCCAGACAGAACCTGAGTCAAGGCTGCCACAACCACAGTAGTGGCGGGCGATGGCAGAATCTCCAGGGATAAGCACCTGAGGAAGGGAGGTTTGGGCCCTGAGCAAATGCATGGCTGAGGTGATCCCATCATGACAGGGAACCAGGTGGAGGAGGTGAAAGGATGCGTTCACTGCTATAGCAAAATGCAAATGAGCCTTCACCTGAAAAGCAATGTAATACAAGAAGATGGCACTGGGGCTGGCATTATGGTGTAGCAAGTTAAGCCGCTGCCTGCGATACCAGCATCCCTATGAGCACTGGTTCCAGTCCTGGCTGCTCCACTTGTGATCCAGCTCCCTGCTAATGTGCCTGGGAAAGCAGCAGCAGATGGTCCAAGTGCTTGGGTCCCTGCACCCATGTAGGAGACGCAGATGAAGTTCCAGGCTCCTGGGTTAGGCCTGGCCCAGGTTTGGCTGTTGCCGTCATTTGGGGAGTGAACCAGCAGATGGAAGATCTCTTTCTCTCTGTTAACTCTGGCTTTCAAATAAAAAATATTTTGGCTTCCCTTCTTAAACAAACAAACAAAAAAACCCAAAAGATGGTACCAGTCTCCCATAAACTCACTACCTTAATTTTTGACACTGTTCTTTCTGTCTTCCTCCAAGTTGAAGTCACACTGGAGATACATTATAATTGCTTTTTTGCACTTAACATTGTATAATAAGCACTCAACCATACTATTAGGAAATTTTCGGGACAGAATTCTAGTGGCTGTGATAAATCCCACCACCGGGACATATCTTACTTCTGTTACTTCCTCTAGTTTGCATGACACCTATGATAATCACAACACCAGCACACACAGTGCTCAGACTTTCTCCTGCCTCCCGTGACCTCCTTGGGACAGAGTCTCAGAACTGAAGCTGCTACGTCAAAGGATGTAACCATCTAAAAGGCTCTCTATAGTGCCCCCCCAAAAAAACCCAAACAACCCTTTCTGCAGCTCAGACAGTGGCTCAGGGTCAGAACTGCGGGGTCTCAGCTGTTGGAGCACCTCTCCTTGGCTGGACCCTTGGCTCTTCCCTGCCACCCTGCTCCTGCTCCTGTGTTCTGAAGGTGCTATGGGGAGCCTTGCTGAGATGGCTGGGACTCTGCCTCTGCAGGGGTCCCCCAGGGTGCAAACAGCCTGCCTTGCTCCCAGTGCCTGTGGCCACACCCCTGCCACTAGGATTTGTTTCCTGGGCACACCTCTGCTCGGCAACCTAATTGGGACGGACAGCCCCCTCTCCCATTATCCTAAAGCAGCAACCCTCACATCCACCCAGAAATGAGCCGGGAAACCTAGACCACATAGCAGGGCAGCCTTCCTCCTAACAACAGAGTAGGGGAGCTGGTTTGCAGCCCCCAGCTTTGAGGACACAGACACCCTCCCTCAGGGCTGAGGCAGTGCTTCAAGACTGAGCTGAGGGGCTGGCGCTGTGGTGTAGCAGGCTAAACCTCCGCTTGTGGCACCTCATGCCATATGGCTGCCGCTTTTTGTCCCGGCTGCTCCACTTCTGATCCAGTTCTTTGCGATGGTCTGGAAAAGCGGCAGAAGATGGCCCAAGTCCTTGGGCCCCTGCACCTGCATGGGAGACCAGGAAGGAGCTCCTGGCTCCTGGCTTTGGATCAGCCCAGCTCCGGCCATTGTGGTCATTTGGGGAGTGAACCAGTGAGTGGAGGACCTCTCTGTCTTTCCTTCTCTCTCTCTGTAACTCTGCCTCTCAATAAATAAATGAATCTTTAAAAACAAAGAAACAAACAAACAAACAAAGCTGAAGAAGGAGAGGCTGCTCAGATAGTCCACTGTCACGAAGGGCGGCTGGGTTTGGAGCACCCGGTTGGAAGCCTGTAATTACGGTGCCGTGAAGTGCGACCTGTACCCGGGCACGGTGTGCCAGGAGGGGAGGCGGCAGAGCGCTCACGGTGCTGTCCTTATGATGGCCAGGGCAGAAACCGTATTAGGATTAGGCTCAGGCTGCATCGGCCAGAGCATTATCACTGTTTCCTTTCTCTTCTCCAGCTCCCTCTGGCACTGCCTACCGCTTACCAAAGTCCTGGTGAACATTTTGGTCCATCTTACCCATGTTAAGGGGAAGTCACAGGAAAGGACATCAACCAGCTTTCATGGGAGCTGTGGACCCCAGGGGGCCAGCACAAGGGTGCCAGGGACAAAGTGCAGGCTTTGGGGACAGCCCTGGTCCCTAGCTGAGTGTTATCCTTCCAGGCAGAAAAGGCTGAAGGCCGTGTCTTGTTTGGACCTGAAAAAATTTCCTCAAACAGAAAGCAACATATGGCCTTTTCCTCTTTACCTTAGAAGTTTCTGAAAGTGAAGTGACCAGGAAAGATAAAAGGTATTGTTTTTTGAACGGCAAGGAAAAAAGCGGGCGGCGTTGTGATGCCAAGGCAGCGTGGAGCCAGGAAAGCCCTGGGTAACTGGGCAGAGACCGCTCTTACAAGGCTGAGCGGGCTGGTGCAGGGAGACAGACTCGGTCTTGGAAGTGTCACGCAGGAAGGCACGGGGAGAAGCAAGATGGCACTCAAGTCTCCACCCCAGGAACCCCAAGGGTGGATGGTAACCCAGGCCAAAGAACAAGAGTGAAGCAAAATGCCTAAAACGAAGGCCGATTCTCTGTTCCTTTATGGCTGAGATCAGATCAGGAAGATGGTTTCTGTCTTGGAGGGAACAGAGATTCCTTATTTGGAGCTGTGGTAGCTTCTGACGAACATGAGGCTGCACTGGCAACGCACTACAAAGCCCTTCAAACCCATCCTGTGCGTTGATGGCAAAGAACCTGGGATGTGTTCACGGCAGCGCTGCTCGTAATCGTGACTCACGGACAGCAACCTCAACTCCCCGCCAGCCGGGGGCTGACTCACTGCACCCCGCGGTTCGTCCACGCAATGGAATTCTGCGCTACGCTGCAGGGCCGTCACTAACCAACCTGGGACAATACCGGTCGTCTCAACAGCAACCAGGAGACAGCGCGTCTGAAATGCCACGTGTTGGTAAACACGCGCAGAAAAGCCTAGCGAGCCACCCACCCGGATCCACCGTGAGCGCTTATCTCCGCGTGGTGGAGTTGCTTTCCCCTTTGGGCTCTGCTATCTGCTTCGAGTGTTCCGTGCTTAGAATGTTTACTTTCACTACTGGAGAAAGCATGGGATATCAACAACAGCAGAGTTCACAATGAACCTCAAAAACTGGTGTCCGAGGGGCCCGCGACACCCACTGCGCCAGCAGGGATCCAGTTTGAGGAGATGAAAGCGAGAGTCCGCAGCTCATTGCCACTACAAGCTGAACTCCAATCGGAGGCCAGCACACGCCCGTACCTGACCCCGTCCGCCCCACGATGCCGATCTTCTCCTTCGGCTTGATGGTGAAGGACACTTTCTTCAGGACCAGGGGGAGGTTCTCGCGGTATCTCATCTCTGCGTTCTCAAAGGTCACCTCTCCTTGCTGCGGCCAGTCGGCAGGGGGAGCTTTGTTCTTGATCCTGGCAGGTGCTTCCAAGGACAGGGTCTGCAGAGACGGACGTGGCTGGTTCAGCGGGACCCGAGGCTAGGGGGGCTGCGAGGCTTTGTCGTGGGGAGGTACAACCAGGGTCCTACAGCTGCCACTCAGAGGCAGCCGCCGCCGCGTCCCCTTGCTGTGAAGGAGTCCCTTGGCAGCGCATGCTCCTTACTGCTACCCCAGAGAAGGAGCGCACGGGCTCTAAGGCAATGGCTTCACAGGGCAGTGCGGTTTGCCAACTGCCTTTTTCTCTCGGGGACTTCTCCCACCTAGCCGCCCCGGGGCTGAGGGAGAGCCTAGAGGGTAGGGCATGAGGCCTTCCCTGCTCTCCAGGCACACAGGTTTTCCTGGAATTCTTTGAAAATGTTCTTGAAACAGGCTTCCACCAGCTGAGAGCCACCTGCCTCACCCTGCAGGCAGGCAGGACTCGTGCAGGACATGTCATCAGACCCCGGCCCCCTGAGGGTAGCTGGGTCCACTCAGCAGAGACTCTGCCTCCACAGCTTAGGACTGGGTCACTTCTCTGCAGGCCTCGGGCTCTCCTCTGCAAGTCGTAAGGACTGGGTCACATGGTCTCAGGACTCTGTCCCAGCTGTCACATGCCCTAGCAGAAATGCTTGGGCAGTTTTTGCCATCAAGAGTCACACTGGACAATATCTGAAGACTCTTGTGGGGGGAGGGTCACAGTCGTGGTGCAGCGTGTTAAGCTGCCACCCCAAATGAGTGCCAGTTCATGTCCCGGCTGCTCCACTTCCTATCTAGCTCCCTGCTAATGTGCCTGGGAAAGCAGCAGAGGATGGCCCAAGTGCTTGGGCCCCTGTACCCATGTGGGAGACCCAGATGGAATCCCTGGCTCCTGGCTTCAGCTTGGCACAGCCTCAGCTGTTGTAGCCATTTAGGGAGTGAACCAGCAGACGCAGGATCTCTGTCACTCTGCCTCTCAAATAAATAAATCCATCTTGAAAAAACAAAACCCTCTTTGGCAACTAGCTGTGGTGCTCACAATACTACAGGGAAGTAAAAGCCAATGACTGAAGAGTCCTGGGGGTTGGAGACTGACGTATAACATCTGAGCTAAAAGCACTCAGGCATCCAGGTTGGGGACTGGGAGCAGGGAGGTGGTCCTGAGACATGTGATTGGCAGGAGCAGGCTCTGTGCTGTACCGCCACTGGCAGTCACACGGACCTCTCCTGCATGACACTCAACAGCAACGTGAGCTCACATACTACACACCACATGCCCATGTGCACACACGTCACCCACAGGCTGGAACACTGGGAACAGACCAATATCTCTACATTTACCAGATACATTAGGCAGCTCTCTGCCATTTTTTCTGAGGATAATCATTACTAAGCTTAAGAACTCTTGAGGGGAGGGAGCCAGTGCTGTGGCATAGGCAGGTAAAGCTGCCGCCTGAAGTGCCGGCATCCCATATGGGCGCCGGTTCAAGTCCCAGCTGCTCCACTTCTGATCCACCTCTCTGCTACGGCCTGGGATAGCAGTAGGAGATGGCCCAAGGACTTGTGGGACACCCACAGGAAGCTCCTGGCTCCTGGCTTTGGATCAGTGCAGCTCCAGCCATTGCAGCCATCTGGGGAGTGAACCAGCGGATGGAAGACCTCTCTCTCTATCTCTACCTCTCTCTCTCTGCCTCTCCTTCTCTCTCTGTGTAACTCTTTCAAGTAAATAATAAATTAAAAAAAAAAAACTGTCTGGGGTCCAGCGCTGTGGCATAGTAGGCCAATCCTCTGCCTGCAGCACTGCCATCCCATATGGACGCCTGTTCAAGTCCTGGCTGCTCCACTTCTGATACACCTCTCTGCAATGGCCTGAGAAAGCAGTAGTAGATGATCCAAGTCCTTGGGCACCTGCACCCATGTTGGAGACCCGGAAGTAACTCCTGACTTCAGAACGGCCTGGCTCCAGCTATTGCGGCCATCTGGGGAGGACCTTTCTCCCTGTTTCAACTCTGCCTCTCAAAGAAATAAATGAAAACTTAAAAAAAAAAAAACTATCTGATAACTAAGGATAATTCAGTGAGACATGTCTCTTAGAAAATTCATGTAGTTTCCAACTGAAAGTAGTTTTTCAAATTTATGTTTCTCAGACAATTATTTGGAAGTTGGCAGGCCTTTGTCCCATGTAAACCATGACATACATGCTGAAGTCTCAAGGCAGTTCACAACACAGGTAACTCCTGGGGCCACCACCTGCAACTCCAGCATCCGATGCGGGCGCCGTTTCCTTGTCCTGGCTGCTCCACATCTCATCCAGTTCCCTGCTAAAGGCCTGGGAGGGCAGTGGAGGATGGCTCAGGAGCTTCGGCCCCTGCCACCCATGTGGGAGACCAGGATGAAGCTGTTGGCTTTTAGTCTGGGCCACTGGCAGCACTTGGGGAATGAACCAACAGATGAAGGACCTCCCTCCCTCCCTCTCTTCCTCTCTCTCTCTCTCTCTGACTCTTTCAAATAAATAAATCTTAAAAAGCAAGCAAACAAATAAACAGGTAAATCTTGAAAATGAGGTTAAATTTGAGAACCCTAACTAACTATTCGTGTAGACTCTGCTCTATCTTTGGATGACCGCTCTAGGAGTTACAGCAAGATGCCGCCCCACAGCAAGCCTGCAGGGATTCCTGGGGGAAGGTGGGGAGGGATGGAAACTTCCAGGATAAACTAAATGTCCTTGTTTCTAAACTGTGAAAGCAGTTGAGAATTAGCCACTGAAGCCCAGGTCCCACCCCAGACCTACTACATCAGAGTCTCCCCAGATGAGGCCCACGTTTGTCTTTGCCAAAAGCTCAACAGAGGATTCTGATGGTCATCCCCGGCTAGGAACAGCTGGGCTAGACAAAGAATGGAAACGATACATGGTTTTCAACAGTGTGTGGAAAACACTGCATTAGTCAGCTCGGCTGAACTGACAAGATCTGAACATTCTGGAAATTAGCAGGTGAGCACGCTTCCTCAACTGGACACAATTAAAAAATCTATCTAGAAATTCTTGGGGTATTCCACTCTCCATTCCGAGATGGTGGGAGACTGCTGGCTCTTTTCTGCGGGCTAAGTCAGGCAGGGAAGACAAGCCTCTTGTCTGCACATCTACAGGGTAAGTGGCTCCAGGAGGGGTCAGATCACGGCAACAGGCCTGCAGCAGTCTGACCTTGATGTAGTGATTGATCCTCTCCACCGAGGTGAATCGAGCTTCTGTCTCAGATGCCAACCGAACCGTAAACTGGAACAGTCCTGTTAACTGATAAGACAAAAACCCGAGAGACAATTCACTACTAGTGAGAGCAAGAGCACCTTCGTCTCCACCCAGAGGGCCACAGCCCAAGAAGAACTAACAGGGCACATGCATAGCTGGCTTTTGGGCCCTCGGCATTTCTCTCAACACTGAAGACGATGCCTATCACTCCCCATCAGCCACGATGCTCGGGAGTGCAGGAGGCACTGGGTACTGCCGGCGCTCCTGGCTACCCCGACATTCCCAATAGCATGACTGCAGCTAAGGAACGTCTGGATTTTCTACTTGTGGCAGTCACGGCAAATGGAGCTATCCACACATGAGAGCGCCCTGTGGGAAAGCTTCCAGGAAGAGGCACCAGGCTGGGAGAAGAGGGGATGCAGAGGCCCTGGGCAGCTGACTGGAGACTCTTGACACACTGCACATGTGACACGTCATCTTCCCCAGTCGGCCTCCAAGGAAGTCCCACAACACGGCAGCTGTAACCACGTGTATCTCTGGGGACCCTCTGACAACCTGTTTACTCTTCTCTTTCCAACATGGGAAAAGGCCACCCATAACAAAGATCAGGGAGAGTACGTAAAGAATCCCCGCATGCCGGACCTCCCTCTTCAAAGATGACCAACTTAATGCCGTCCGCTTTCCTCTACACTCCCACCCTCTCCCACCTCCAGCCCAGACATCATCTGGGAGCAGACCCCAGACATCCTATCATTTCACCCCGAAATATTTCAGCTTCTCTCTAAAGTATGAAGACTTCAGAAACACAATCGGATACCATCACTTACAAAAAAAAATTCTTAGCATCTCCAAACATCTAGCTAGCATTCAAGTTCTCAATTGTTTTTGAGCTACTTGAAGACCCTAATTATTCCTGGGGACCTGAGGGCTGATATATGTAACTGTGTTGGGAAAATTAGAAGCCTGAAAATAAAATGAATATAAGAAGCATACTGAAGACATGCTATTTCTCAGAAGACTAGGAAGATGCCAGAAATGAGAGGGTGGTGAGTACAGAAACTTACAGTTCAGAAACGATTTTCAAAGTAGTGTTTCTGGGCTCAGCTTGTGGCACAGTGGGTTAAGCCACTGCCTGTGACACTGGCATCTCCTATGATCCAGTTCAACACCCAGCTGCTTCACTTCATATCCAGGTCCTTGCTAACAGTTTGGGAAAGCAGCAGAAGATGGCCCAAGTGTTTGGGTCCCTGTACCCAAGTGGAAGACCCAGATGGAGTTCCTGGCTCATGGTTTTGGCCTGGTCAAGCCTCAGCCATTATGGTGATTTGGGGAGTGAACCAGCAGGTGCAAGGTCTCTCTCTCTCTCTCTCCCTGTCTCTCTCTCTCTCTGTAACTCTATCTTTCAAATAAATACATTTTTATTTTTTTAAAGATTTATTTATTTGCCTGAAAGGCAGAGTTACAGAGAGGCAGAAGCAGAGGGATAGAGAGAAAGAGAGACCTTCCATCTGCTGGTTCACTCCCCACATGGCAGCAATGGCTGCAGCTGCACTGATCTGAAGCCAGGAGCCAAGAGCTTCTTCCAGGTCTCCCATGCAGGCGCAGGGGCCCAAGGACTTGGGCCATCTTCTACTGCTTTTCCAGGCTATAGCAGAGAGCTGGATCAGAAGTGGAGCAGTGGGGACTCAAACCAGCACCCATATGGGATGCTGGCACTGCAGGTGACGACTTTACCTGCTAAGCCACAGCACTGCCCTCCCCTCAATTTTTTTAAAATCAGATTTCTAAAAAAAACCTCCAAAAACTCCTATTTCTTAAACGCATGCAGCATTCAAATCCTCTCTCTCCTGTCTCCCCATCCCATCTTACGCCCAACCCTCCCTGCCAGTCATATCCAGACTGTCAGGTCAGATCTGACCAGGAGAATGCTAGAGGCTCAGACTTGAGACAATGGCTTACAGCGGAGCCCCCTCCCGATCACAGCATGCCTTTTCTGTGTCAACAAAGGAAGGACCCAAACAAGCGAAGAGCATGCGCCCACCCCAGGCACTGACCTGGACGGCGTAAGAGATGGCAAGGCCCGCGTAGGCTGGGGGAATCTGCCCGTGCATGAGGACGATCATCAGCCCAGTGGTGGTGATCAGGGCGATGCTGATGAGGTCCAGGCGCACAGCCAGCCACCTCATTGCACACGTGAACAAGAAGAAGGGGGCTTGGTTGTCATCCAGGAGCTCCTGGTACCTGCAAGCGAGACAGAACATGTGACAAGCAAATAAGGCACCCTCGACCCTGCTTTTGGATGATGTCAAAGCTTCGGTGAATCACAGGATGGAGGGCAAATGTCTAAGTACTTCCTTTTTCTTTTCTTTTTCTTTTTTTCTTTTTTTTTTTTTTTTTTGACAGGCAGAGTGGACAGTGAGAAAGAGAGACAGAGAGAAAGGTCTTCCTTTGCCGTTGGTTCACCCTCCAATGGCCGCCGCTGCCGGCGCACCACGCTGATCCAATGGCAGGAGCCAGGTGCTTCTCCTGGTCTCCCATGGGGTGCAGGGCCCAAGCACTTGGGCCATCCTCCACTGCAGTCCCGGGCCACAGCAGAGAGCTGGCCTGGAAAAGGGGCAACCGGGACAGAATCCGGCGTCCCGACCGGGACTAGAACCCAGTGTGCCGGCGCTGCAAGGCGGAGGATTAGCCTAGTGAGCCGTGGCACCGGCCCTAAGTACTTCCTTTATCTAACTGAAGGAAGGACATGGAAACCTCGGGTGAGCCTCACATGGGGAGGACAGGGGGCTTTCTGTTAGCTACCCCTCCAAGAGAAACGAAAACCTATTAAAGATGTTCGGGGAAAACATCAACTTAACAGCACAGGGAAAGCAAGGGAAAGGAGAGCAAATCGAGGGGCTTACACCAAGCTTTGGAGAAATGTCTTAGGTCAGGGAAGGTTACGGAGGCAAATGTCAGGAAGGCTCAAGGCCAAGCAAGAGATCACAGAGCGGGAAAGCTGAACACTGTCGGGCAGATTGGTACCAGCTGCTCCCTGTGGCCATAGGACTAAGAACCAGGAGAAGCAGGGGGAACCACAGCAAAGGAGACTCAGACATCCTGCCACTGAGGAGCAAAGCACTGCAGCCACTGGGGTCCTGGAGAGCCAAGCAGACCCCGCTGAAGACCCTGGACCCAACCAGAACTTCGAAGCAGCAAGTTTTGCTGGGCAGACTGCTGTTTTAAAATCGCTTTTCCTCTTTAGAGAAAAGTTAGAAAACACAATTTAAAAAAAAAAAAAAAAAAAGGAAAACGTAAAATTGCAGTGACCTTCCCACTCGGTCAAAACCAGACTCGCGTGTGCTGTACTTCCCTACTGCACCATTTGATGCGCTCATTACTGCGTGTCTGTATCCACACACCCACGCAGTCCGCACACTCCACCTTTTCTCGCTTAAAGTTAGGGAGCATTTTTCTGAGTCGTCTAGCATTTTGAAAATGCTTTTTCTAACATTTCTGTTATCAATTTGCTTAAAAAAGTAATTTCCTAACTTTTGAAATGGGCAGTAGATACAGGATGGAGCATGTAAGTTATGAGCGGTCCACCTTTCTATTTTTTTTTTATTTTTATTTTTTTATTTTTTTTTATTTTTGACAGGCAGAGTGGACAGTGAGAGAGAGAGACAGAGAGAAAGGTCTTCCTTTGCCGTTGGTTCACCCTCCAATGGCCGCCGCTGCAGCCGGCGCACCGCGCTGATCCGATGGCAGGAGCCAGGAGCCAGGTGCTTTTCCTGGTCTCCCATGGGGTGCAGGGCCCAAGCACCTGGGCCATCCTCCACTGCACTCCCTGGCCATAGCAGAGAGCTGGCCTGGAAGAGGGGCAACCGGGACAGAATCCGGCGCCCTGACCGGGACTAGAACCCGGTGTGCCAGCGCCGCAAGGTGGAGGATTAGCCTATTGAGCCACGGCGCCGGCGGTCCACCTTTCTTCTACCCACCCTCCAGCTACCCAGATCCCCCTTTCCAGTGGCAGTCAACAGTTTCTTGTGATCCTTTCTGAGATGTTCTAAATACACACACACACACACACACACACCGGAAAGGGCAGCATGCAACGCACACACATCTACACGCTGCTCTCACACCAGTGTATCCTGGGGATCACCCCACAGCAGAATAGAGTTGCATTCCATTAAGGGACTCAGAATTCTATTATGCGGGCATTATCAGGGCTTATTTAACCGTCCCCTGTTAAAGGACTTTTAGGTCAGTTGTCCCTCTTGCTAATAATCTCCACAATGTCTGTGTACATAAATTTCACAAATAAACAATACTTAATGGCTAAATCAATGCTGATGTCAACAATAGTCAACTACCTTTTACTTAAAAAAAAAAAAAAAGCGAAACTCCATCAACTATAACTTCTCAGGAACAAAAGCCAAATCTGTGTTTTTGTCTCATTTGCTCAGAAGAGAGTCCGTAGCAATTGAATTTTAATCAGAGACCACTCCATCAAATCACAAATACCCTTAGTAGTGAGTTTTATAATCTGCAGCTCTGGCTGTAAGGGGCCTCTTAGACTCTATTAAATGCTGGCACACTGGCTCCCCCTCGCAGCACCAACCTGTGCAGAAACTCCTGCCCTTTATTGTAGGCATGGATGGTGGCAAGGCCCTGTATGCTCGACGTGATGTGGGAGAGGAAAGGGGACTGTGTGATGTTGTCCAGACGTTTCAGCTCGCGGATCAGGACCCTGGAGGGAGAAGGAGTTCTCAGAGCAGTGCGGTCATAGCCAGCCGGTCTGCCCCGGCAGGCAGACGCCGACGCTCGCTGTTTACCTGGAGACGATGTGCAGCACGGAGAAGAGGATGACGAGGGGCCCCACGGCCACGAGGAACCAGGGGAACACGCCCGCGATCATCCCCACGCAGAAGAACACCAGGATGACGTTCTGGATGAACATCTCGGCCTGGAACGGCAAGCGCACATCCACTGGGGAGGCAGCGGAAGAACACATGAGAGTCAGGCTGTGCAGACAAGGCAAATGGGACTGCACACTTACCAAAGACAAAAAGAGGCTCCACAAAATCCCGTCTGAAGTTTGTGCGGTTGTCTTTAACAGTCTGAGCAAAAAAACCTGGCTGCTCTAACAATTCTTGTCCCAAGAAAACTTATGTGATCTCCCCCCTTTCCTGGGGTCACTATCCTAGCCAGCTCCTTAGGCATTTTCTCCCTTCACAAAGCAATATGTGCTTGTAAGATATCTGGAAAATAAATATGCAAAAAAAGAAAACAAAAATCACTTATGTTCTTTTTTTTTTTTTTTTAGATTTTTTTTTTTTAGATTTTTTTTTTTTTTTTTTGACAGGCAGAGTGGGCAGTGAGAGAGAGAGAGACAGAGAGAAAGGTCTTCCTTTGCCATTGGTTCACCCTCCAATGACCACCGCAGCCAGCACGCTGATCCAAAGGCAGGAGCCAGGTACTTCTCCTGGTCTCCCATGGGGTACAGAGCCCAAGCACTTGGGCCATCCTCCACTGCACTCCTGGGCCACAGCAGAGAGCTGGCCTGGAAGAGGGGCAGCCGGGACAGAACCTGGCGCTCCGACTGGGACTAGAACCCGGTGTGCCAGCGCCGCAAGGCAGAGGATTAGCCTAGTGAGCCGCGGCGCCGGCCAAATCACTTATGTTCTTACCGATATTAGTGCATTGCTGCTAACATTTAAGACATTTTCCCAGTATCCCTGATGAACACAGATACAAAGTTCTAAGCAGAACATCAGCAAGTCAAGTTCAACAGCACATTACATGGAGCACTCACAGGCTGGGCACCTGGTGCAACAGTGAACACGCTGCTTGGGACACCCACACCCCATATCGGACCCTGAGTACAAATCCAGGCTCTACATGCAATCTAGCTTCCTGCTAATGCACACTTTGGGAGGCAGCAGGTGATGGCTCAAGTACTTGAGTTCCTGCCACCCAGGTGGCAGACCTGGGTTGAGTTCTGGACTCTTGGCTTCAGCCTGACCCAGCCCTGATTGTTGTGGGCAGTTGAAGAGTGAAACAATGAATGGAAGATATCTTTCTCTTTCTTTCTCTCTAATAATAAATAAAATAAAAGTACTGTTTGCTATGGTCAAGAGGGATTCATTCCAGGGATATGAGGGTGGTTCAACATACACAAATCATAAATGTCATATACTACATTAACAGAAAGAAAGACAGGGGCCATACGATCATCTCAGTAGATACAGAAAAAACATCTGAGAAAAATCAACATTCATGACAAAAATTAAGTATAGAAAGTATAACTCTCATTTTTTAAAAAAGATTTATTTTACTTAATTGAAAGGCAGAATTAACAGAGGAAGAGACAGAAAAAGAGACAGAGACACAGAAAGAGAGACAGAGATCAATCCTCCAGCCACTGATTCGCACCCCAGAAGTTTGCAACGGCTGAGGCTGGGCCAAGATGAAGCCAGGAGCCTGGGACTCCATCTGAGTCCTCCACGTGGGAAGCAGGGGCCCAGGGACTCGGGCCATCTGCTGCTGCTTTCCCAGGTACATTAGCAGGAAGATGGATTAGAAATGGTGTAAAAGTAAACAAATAAAATGAATAAATGATGAAAAAACAAAAAGTGGTGTAACATGGACTCAACCTGGCGCACGTAAGGGATGTCGACATTGCAGGTGGCAGCTAACACCTTCCGTACGACACCAGCCCCAGAGGTGTGTATCTCAACATAATAAAGGCAAACTCACAACTAACATCATATTCACAGGAAAAGTGGAAAGCTTTTTCTTTTTTTTTAGATGATTTATTTATGTATTTGAAAGGTAGAGTTAGAGAAAGAGACAGAGACAGAGACAGAGAGACAGAGATCTTCCATCCACTGGTTCATTCCCCAAATGGCTACAAAGGAGTCAGAAGCCTCATCTGAGTCTCCCACATCGGTGCAGGGATCCCAGCGCTTGGGCCATCCTCCGCTGCTTTCCCAGGCACTTTAGCAAGGAGCTAGATCAGAGGTGGAGCAGCCAGGACTTGAACTGGTGCCCATACTAGATGATAGCACTGCAGGCAGTGGCTTAACATGCTGCGCCACAGTGCTGGGCCCTGAAAGCTTTTTCTTTAAGAACAGGAATAAGACAAAGATGCCTACACTCACCGCTAAAGATTTATCTATTTACTTGAAAGTCAGAGTTAGAGAGAGGCAGAAGCAGAGGCAGAGGCAGAGAGAGAGAGGAAGAGAGAGTCTTCCATCTGCTGGTTCACTCCCCAAATGGCAGCAACAGCTGGAGCAGAGCCGATCCAAAGCCAGGAGCCAGGAGATTCTTACATGGGTGCAGGGGCCCAAGGACTTGGGCTATCTTCCACTGCTTTCCCAGGACATAGAAGAGAGCTGAATAGTAAGTGGAGTAGCTGGGACTTGGACCAGCGGCCATATGGGATGCCAGCACCACAGGCAGCGGCTTAACCCGCTACTCCATGGCGCCAGCTCCCAACATAGTTCTTATAATCCTAACTACAGAAATCAGGCAAGAGAAAGAAATAAAGGCATCTGAAGGGGAAGGGAGGAAAGTATTCGTCCCTGTTTGCAAAAGACATGATCTTACATGCAGAATCTTAAAGATATCAAAAAGCAAAATCTGTCGAATAAATGAATCATGAAAAGTTGCAGGATACAAGATCAACATAGCATTCTCATACACGAATGGGGAACTATTTGAAAAGGATATTAATAAAACAATTCTGAAAGCTATAAAACATAGATGAAAGAAAGAAATTTTCAATTCCCAACTTGACTCTCACTGGGATTAAACATGACAATAGGTCTGATCTGATTTCATCATCATTTAAAAAAAATCATCTTTTTTTTTTTCACTTTATGGTTTCTGTGTGGGAGCACACTGTTGAAATACTTACTTAAGGTATACTAAGCTGATCTTCTGTATATTAAGATAATCGAAAATGAATCTTGATGTGAATGGAAGGGGAGAGGGAGTGGGAAAGGGGAGGGTTGTTGGTGGGAGGGACGGTATGGGAGGGGAAGCCATTGTAACCCATGAGTCGTACTTTGGAAATTTATTTTCATTTAATTAAAGATTAAAAAAAAAAAAAAAAAAAAAAAAAAAAACTTGGTAAAGCTAAGGATCCCAAATTCATTTAATTTTGCATACTATTTTTCAAAGGTTGTCTCAGGTATGTCCATGAACTTCTACAGATAATAACAATAAAATGTTCACCTTGCCATTGCATTATGATACTCGATAAAAAAAAAAAAAAAGAAAGAAAGAAACTGATGAGGACAAGAATAAATATAAAGATATCCTGTGTTCATCGGCTGGAAGAATTATTTAAAAATTTTTTAAAAAAGATTTTATTTATTTGAGAGGTAGAGTTAGAGACAGAGAGACGGAGAGACAGAGAGAGAGGTCTTCCATCTGCTGGTTCACTACCCAAATGGCCACAATGACTGGAGCTGGGCTGATCTGAAGCCAGGAGCCAGGAGCCTCTTTCAGGTGCAGGGGCCCAAGCACCTGGGCCATCTTCCATTGTTTTCCCAGGCCATTGGGAGGGAATTGGATTATAAGCAGAGCAGCCAGTATTGGAACCAGCACCCATATGGGAAGCCAGCACCACAGGCAGAAGCCTAACTCACTGTGCAACAGCATTGGCTCCTGGAAAAATTAATATTATTAAAATACCAATTATAGGGGCCAGCACTGTGGTGCAACCAGTAAAGCTAGCGCCTGCGATGCCAGCATTCCATATGGGTGCCAGTTTGAGTCCTGGTTACCCACTTCCACTCCAGCTCTCTGCTAATGGCCTGGGAAAGCAGCAGATGGCCCAAGTGCTTGGGACCCTGCTCCCATGTGGGAGATCTGAAAGAAGCTCCTGGTGTCAGACTTACCCAGCTTTGGCCAGTGTGGCCATCTGGAGAGTGAATCAGTAGATTGAAGATATCTCTCTCTCTCTCTCTCTCTCTCTCTCTCTCTCTCTGTAACTCTGCCTTTCAAATAAATAAATAATAAAAATTTAAAAATACCAATGACATTCTTTACAGAAATAGAAACAATAGGAAAAGCATCTCCACATACACATGAACCACAAAAGACCCAGAATAGTTAAATCAATGTTAAGCAAAAAGCTGGAGGGGCAGATACTGTGACACTTCAGGCTAAGCCTGAGCTTAGGGCGTCTGCATCCCATACTGGAGTGCCAGTTAAGAATCCAGGCTACTCTGCCTCCTATACAGCTCTGCACCTGGGAAGCAGCAGATGGCTATTCAAGTACTTGAGTCCCTGCCACCCACATGGAAGAACTGGACAGAGTTCCTGGCTCCTGGCTTCTGCCAGGCCCAGTTCCAGCTGTTGCAACCATTTGGAGAGTGAACCAAAATACAGCAGACCTCTTATCTCTTTCTCTCTCTTTCCCTCTCTGTCACTCCACCTTTCAAATAAATTTTTAAAATATCTTTAAAAATTAAATAAAAAGACAAAGCTGGAAGCATCACACTATCTGACTTCAACATATACTATAAAGCTAGAGTAATGAAACAGCATAGGAATGGCATAAAAACAGACACATAGACCAATGGAAGAGAACTGAGAGACCAAAAATAAACCACACATATACCACCAACTGATTTTTGACAAGGTGCCAAGAATACATTCTCTTCAATGAATGGTGCTGGGGAAATTGAATATCCACATGCAGAAGACTAAGACAAGATTCCCTCCCCCTCAAAAAAAAAAAAAAACACACTTAAAATGGATTAAAGATAGGGCTGGCATTGTGGCATAGTAGGTAGAGCTGCTGCCAGTGAGGCGAACATCCTATGTGGATGCCAGTTCAAGTCCTGGCACTCCACTTCTGATCCAGCTCCCTGCTAATGGCCTGGGAAAAGCAGCAGGAGATGGCCCAAGTGCTTGGGCCCCTACCATCCATATGGGAGACACAGAAGAAGATTCTGGCTCCAAGCTTTGGCCTGGCCCAGCCCTAGGCATTGCAGCCAACTGGGGAATGAACCAGCAGATGGAAGATCTCTCTTTGTGTCTCTCCCTCTCTAACTCTTTCAAATAAATAAATAATTCTTAAAAAAAAAAGACATTAGAAACAAATTCAGTGTTAACAACTGTTTAAAAAAAACAGATTAAAGGTTTAAATGTAAAGTTCAAAACTAAGAAACCATTAGAAGAAACCATAATTTTTTTAGATAAGTTTTTTTTTTTTTTTTAGGTAAGACCTCCCCCCCCCCCCCAACAGCACAAGCAACAAAAGCAAAAACAGATACATGGATTTATATCAGACTAAAAGTTCTACACAGCAAGGAAACAATCAATACAGTGAGGAGACGATCCATGCACTGGAAGATAGCATTTGCAAAGTATGTGTCTGACAAGGGCGCTAGCATCCAGAAATACACAGGAACTTAAACAACTCAATAGTAAATGACTGAATAACTCAATTTAAAAATGGGCAAAAGACTTTTAAACACACTTCTCCAAAGAAGACATAGAAATGGCCAGCAGGTATAGGAAAGAAAGCTAAACATCACTAACCATCAGAGAAATACAAATCAAAACTACAGTGAGATGTCATTGAATGGCTATCATCAAAAAGACAACAGAAAATAAGTGCTGGAAAAGACATGGGAAAGGGAGTCCTCATACTCTGTTGGTGGGAATTATGGAAAACAATGGAGGTCCCTCAAAAAATTTAAAATAGAACTAGCATATGATCCAGCAATCCCACCACTGGGTATAGAACCAATGGAAATGGAATCAATACATCAAAGTGATATCACAGCTCTTCACTTTAGCCAAGACTTGGAATCAACCCACATGTCCAACAATAGATAAACAAAGAAAATGTGGTCTATTTACACAATGGAATACTAACCAACCATCAAAGAGAATGAAATCTTATCATGTGAAACAACATGGACAAACCTGGAGGACATTAAGCCAAGTGAAATAAGCCAGACACAGAAAAACAAACACGACGTGACCTCACTCACGTGGACGCTAAAAAGAACTGATCTCACGGAGGCACAGAGTGGGAGGGGAGGATGGGAAAGAGTGGTCAAGGAAACAGGAGAAATGCATTCTGGCGTTCTGCACAGGAGGGTGACTACAGGGAACAGCAGGTGTGGCATATTTCAAGATAGCCAGAAGTGGGATTTTTTAATGTTCTTACCACAAAGAAATGATAAATGCGAGAGATGATAGATATGCTAACCTCCCTGATTTTTTCATCAACATACAATGTGCACATGTAGTGCAACATCAAACTGCACCCCAGAAACGTGTACAACTATAAAATGTCAGTCAATTGACACCTGGTGAGCTGAAGCAGGGGGAAACTTTTCTTCATCAAGGAAAAAAATTAAACTTACACAAAAGCCAAAAGGAAAGTGTAGAACTTTCCACAGTTCCCAACATTTTCTTCAGCTGTTTTGGGCTGCCTCCCTACCCCACTTTCTTTAAGCTGAAGTATTTTTATGCAAATCCTAGACATATTGATACTGTGTGTGTGTGTGAGAGAGAGAGAGAGAGAGAGAGAAGAGGAGAGGGGAGGGGAGGGGAGGGGAGGGGAAGAGGGAGAACACAAGCTAGAGGGAGAGATGGGCATGGCCTGTGTGACCCATCAGTTCTGGCACCAGGGATGGCTTGCTTCTGTGTTACCGCCTCCGACCACAGCTGTACATTGCCCATCAGTGTGTAAGACAAGCTCCTTTCACAGAAGTGCCCATGGTGCAGTGGTTAAAAATGTGATTGTCCTGGGGCAAAAAGATCTCAGCTCCATTGCCAGCTTCGTTACCCAATAGCTACAGAGTCTAGGGCAAGTTGCTTAACCTCCCCAGACATCAACTTTCTCATGTTTGCAAAGACTAAAACAGCAGCTACCCTCATGGCTGCCACGAGGATTAGGATAAAACATTTGATACTCTGCTTGTCACAGGGTGAGCCCTTAGTAAACATCAGGTGGCTGTATTGTGACCCAGGCTCTGGAGAGTATTTCAGTCTTGATGCAGGTACAGCCCATGCAACACCCAGAAAATCCACCAAAGGCTGCAAGTACCCAGGAGCTAAGGCATTACTCCAAAACAAACACATGTCTTGGAATCTCACACGCCCCCAGCCAAAGCCTCGGCTAGCAGCACAGTGAGCTCAGTTTATGTTCCAGAGTGTAAAAGAAAGCAACAGTGAGAAGTACCTTCATCCATGTCTTTGGAAAACCTGTTGAGAATCCTTCCCGTGGGGGTCGTGTCAAAAAACTTCATAGGGCTGCGAAGGATCCTGCGGAAAAGCTCGTCGTGGAGCCGGGAAGAGGCGCGCAGCGTGCCCTGAGAAGCACAGCGCAAAGCGGTCAGGGCCCAGGGACCAGAAGGCTCCATCCCTACCCGGGCACATCACGGTGCGGTCACCCACTCCCGAAGCTGGAGCAGAGCCCGTGTCAGGAGGGGGGACAGGGTGGCTCAGCAAGGCTGAGGCTGACACATGCGTGGTCTCAGCGAGGCCGTCGCTGTGAAGGAGCTCCCGACTCTGAATAAACTCAAGCATGCCCGGCTTGACCATGCGGGCTGCCAGGGAGAGGGGAGCAGAGGCTGCCCGCCGCATACCTTGACAAAGACCACTCCCCGAATGGCTTTCAGGATCAGCATGACGGCCATGGAGAGGGCGTAGATGCTGGCATAGTAGTGCATCAGAGGGTTGTCCTTCATGCTGTCGCTCACGGACGTCTTGTTCTCTCGAGTCACTGTGCTGTTCTGTTTGGAGGCAAGGCTCTATGAGCAAGACCCCAAGACGCTGCCAAGAGCCATTCTCCACTCAAGGGCAGGGCAAGGGATAATGACCCTGGGGCCTGGCCAAGGCAGACTTTGCCCATCTCCTCTTTTCTGACAGATAGGAGCAGTCAGCCAGCAAGAGCCCTCCTGCAGTGAGCTTGCAGGTGCCCTATAGGTGCTCAGGGGTTGTGAGGCCACATTAGGGGTTCATCTTTTTCATCTTGGAAAATCCGTGTTCACTGCTTCTTGCAAAGTTTCCCGAACAGCAGCCCAGGAATAAGGGGCGAGAGCCACAGTCTTAGAACTTTCCCACTGATGAGTAACCTTACCCCACTTCCTTGCTTGATCCAGTAACTCAACCACCAGGTGCTGAAGGCAGTGCTGCCCACATTCAGCATGAAAAGGGCCATAATGACCAGGAAGGCCAAGGGGCCCCCAGCAGCCTGGATGTAGACACCGTACACCGACCAGGGCACTGAACCTTGCCCCTTCTCTTCCAGCTGCACGAGCTGCCCTGGGTAGAGGAAAAGAAACACGAACTCAGAAGAGCTCCCTCCCTATCACTAAGTCGCCTATTGAGCAGCAGAACCAGCGAGCGCCTAGAGTTTCACAGGGCTTTAGATGAGAATTCCTTCCTCCTCATCAGAAGCATTCTCTCACCCATTTAGCCCTGAGCACCTGCTACGAACCAGGCCCAGGATGAGGCCCTGGAGCAGCAGGAGGGGGTGAAGATCAGGTGCCTGCCCTTGAGGGGCTGGCAGAGGATCCTACCACACAGTCTGGTAGGACAGGCAGGTAAATAAACACAGGACCGTAATGAAATGTGCTAACTTCGGTGACAGGGCTGTGTGCAGGGCAGTGTGGGACATCCAGGAGGTGTGCCTAGGTTCCTTGGGGGAGGCATGGGCAGTTAGCAGGCAGGGAAGTCTGAGCAGTCTGTATTGCTTCTCAGAAGGCAGACCAGGATGCACCAGGTGAGGGGACAACAGGCAGAGAGGACAACATGAGCAAGGCACTCCCCTAACGCAAGAGCATTAGGGGAGCCCAGTGACGGTACCCAGCTGAACAGCTGTGCGCTTTGGGAGCAGCACGAGAGGAGATGAGGCTGACCAGGCAGGCCGTGCTCAGAGGAAGCGGCATTTGAACTTTATCCTGCAGACAAGAGCGCCTCCAGAGAATGGTCCAGGTGTGTGGATGTTGTACTCCCCAGCCCTGCTGGCCAGGACCATGAAACCGGCTGCCTCTGGTGGTGAGCAGCCTCTTCCACACACCCCCAATGCCCTATACAAGTGTGGGCCTTTCGGATGTGTGCCCTATCAGAACAGAAAACACTGCTTTTTAAATGGGAGGTTTGTGGAAGTCTTAATGCAGGAAAGTAAACGGGTTGGTCTGTTCTAATGAGTTCCCCAGGAGGCAGCTGTGATGCCCTAGGAAAAGCTGCCGAGGGCCTGCACCAGGGTCCTGGCAGTGCGGGTGGAGTTCAGGAGGTAAATTCAGGACATGGTGAGTGGTCGCTGAGTTGCTGGAGGAGGGAAGGCTGGTTCCTGCAATCTCCCTGGGTGGTCAGATGACTGGGAATACAAAGTAACAGCCCCTTGGAGACTGGCTTATTTCACTAACTATGATGTTTTCTGGTTTCATCCATTTTGTTGCAAATGTTGTATTTATGAGATACATACAAGATAAAAAAAATAATAATAAAACAGAAATGGGGCCGGCACTGTGGCGCAGCAGGTTAACGCCCTGGCTTGAAGCGCCGGCATCCCATATAGGCGCTGGTTCTAGTCCTGGCTGCTCCACTTCCCATCCAGCTCTCTGCTATGGCCTGGGAAAGCAGTAGAAGATGGCCTAAGTCCTTGGGCCCCTGCACCCGTGTGGGAGACCCGGAAGAAGCTCCTGGCTCCTGGATTGGCGCAGCTCCGGCTGTTGCAGCCATCTGGGGAGTGAACCATCGGATGGAAGACCTCTCTCTCTCTGCCTCTCCTCTCTCTGTGTAACTCTGACTTTCAAATAAATAAATCGTTAAAAAAATAATAAAACAGAAACAGCCACTCAGGAACCTGTCTCTTCAGCACGGATGATGGCCAGTACTCTGGGCCCAGAACACCCATGTGTTGAACACTGTAACAGCCGGGTTGCTGGCCACACAGCTGAGGCTGAATGTTCCCCAGCGATGTTCCTTCACTGCTTGTGGCAGGAACTAACAGATGTCTCAGCTGTGGGGTGCGGCTTAGCTTTTCAGGGTCAGTAAGGGATCTTAAATCACACCTGAATTCAAAATCGCGTGGCTGTTAACTTTTAAAACAAAGAGAATGATACATCGGAATGGTTCACTCCTAATGCCACAGGCCTGCTGCAGTTCTCAGGGCAAGCAAGGGCAAACAAGGTCAGCCCACAGCAAGGGCTTCCCCAGGCAAGCCCCTCGGGGTCCATGACGGGCAGGGGAGGCACTGACGCAACAGGAAGAAGAGCTTAAAACAAGACTGCAATTATTTTTAATCTGAAAATTGACACACACACACAAGTTCCAATTCACAAAGGTGGAAAATGCCCATGTTATTGCAAACAGCTTCTCTAACTCCCAAGTCTGGCTTCAGTTGAAGAGATAAAGGGTTTGACACAGGACCAAGGCCAAGCAGGAAAACCCACGAGCTGGAACTCTCCACCGCAGCCCGGCTGCCACCTGCTAACACAGGGGCTGCTGGGCCCCTCTGCTTTGGAGGGCACTGACTGCTGAAGAGAGGTGAATCATGGGAAGGAGGAGTGCGCCCCTACTCCACATTCCATGTTTCCTTCCCGGGATGAGTCGCTGTGACGCTCCACCCCCGACCGGGCCTTGCACAGGAACAGGAGGCCCAGGCTTCAGTCATTCTTACCTCCCTGCTCTGTTTAAGCAGAGGGTGCCTCGTGATCTCCCGTATTCTAGACGAACTTACCATCACAGAGACATAAGGCCAGGCACTCTATAACACACAATGCTAGCAAACACGTGGCATAATTTCACGTCAACTTTCATGATGAATCTACAATGCCCCCAAAACGGTCATTACCTTCCTCTGGCTTCACTGCTTTCTCCTTCTTTACTGATCCCGTTTTAGGACCCTTGTCTTGGGATTTCTTCTGTGAACCACTGGTTTCCTTCTTTGAATTAATCTAATAATATTAAAGAAAAGTGTCTCTAGTCATGATACAGCCATCATGATACATGAATGTCGACAAGATACATCCTGAGAGAATCAGCTTGCTGTACTGAGATACATCCAACCTCTCAAAAGAGCCACCTGTACTCATTTTTTCTTTAACACAAAGACTTCAAAAAGTTCATGGAAAATGTATATTATGAAAAACCGATGCATGGATTTCAAAATCTTCTTGCTCTAAAATAAACGTATTTTAATGCCTTTTTCTGTGAACTTTTGGAAGTACTCTCATATTTCCTCCTTAAAACCTTTGTTCTCCACAAAGGCATTAGAGACCTATGCTCCAAACGCAGAGGCCTTTCTTCTGTCCGTTGTGTGTAGGTATCAGGGCTGGAGTCATTTCCATTCCTCCTGTCTCTGACCTCCCGCATTACTAAGTCAAATCCACAGAGCCGATTATTTCTTGCTGCTGCCCCAGGAAAACCTGAACTTCTCAGCTTGGTTTTGCAGGACCTCACATTCTGGGCCTAGCCTCATTCTGTAAGTTCCTCTCACGTGGCACTGTCTCCCATGGCTCCCACCCTCTAGCCACCACGGACTTCACATCATTCTGTATACCACACTGCGATTCCTCACCTCTATACCTTTGTCTATGCTGGTTTCTCCACTTGCAACGTCCCAGTCTCCATCAGTTGTCCCCACTCAAATGGATTCAGATCCTACAATCTTCATGAAGCAACTTAGACTCCTCTAGAATAAAGTTCACCCTCCCCTGTTCTGGCTCAGCACTCTGTTAGCCCCTCTCGTTGTTATCTGGATCTGTGACCTGGTGTCATAGTTACCAGTGAGAGCAGAAAATGTTGGTTTCCCCTAGCCTTGTGAATCCTGCACAAGACCTGCCCATAGTAAGACACTGGGGAACTCAACATTCACAGAACTGAACCTGAGACAGCAGAAACTACCTAATGCTCCTCTTTCCGGGTCCCTACTAGATCTTTAAATAGGAAATCCTCTTAATAATAGTTCACTACATCAATTCTTTGTCACAGGTGGCTCCATGCCCCCAGGTGGCTTTGCAAATAGATTTTAAATTGAGAGTGTGAAAAAAAAAGTCAGAAAATACAAAAATTTAGAGGCATATCTGGAACACAAGAGAGGGCACTAAGTTTTTTATTTGCTACAAGGACTGAATAAATACACCATCTGAAGAGAAAGCTGTCATTGCGGACCACTTCCTGGGGCAAAAACACATCATTCAGTTACTCAGCACTACAGCTCTCAGAGGCAGATCCCACCCCCATTTTCAGAAGTAAACCGAAGCTCAGCGCCCTTTTGCTCCTAAGACATTCATGTTTTGTCTCCCTTCCTCACCTTCTTCTGTGTCTACAGTGGTGTGGAAATAATCTCAAGTGTCCAAATACCCCTAAGGGTCATAGAGAGAGATTGCAAAAGCTAAATCCGATCATGGTGTCCTGCAGAAGTTACTAACCACACGTGGGGTGTTTCAGTCATAGCCAAAGACCCAAAATGCATCAGTCATGAACAGTTAATTATACTATCCCTGAAGTCAAACTGGATCAAACCCAAAGACTGAAATAACACTCCCAGGAAAGATCCCAGGAACTTTTTGCTTTCATCCCGCTCAGACATCAAAGTGACCTGGCAGGCAAGAAGGCAGCCACAGCCCATGTGCACCCTCAGATGGCAAGAAGAAACCACCTGTTGGGCTGGCTCTAAGTACACCCTTACACTGCACCCAGTGTGGAGCCCAGAGCACAGCTGCCACCCCTGGATGGCACCTCCTTGTTTTCCCAGAGGCAGGGCAGCAAACAGAGCACATGGGAGTCAAATCATCCCTATTAGCAAACTAACCTTCCTGAACTTCAGTTTTCTGTAAATGGAAGTGGGGGGCGGGGGGGGGGGATTCCTGTTTTACCACCTTGCTCTGCTAAAATGAATGAAAAGGACGCGACCTAAAAAGTTTCTAATCCAGGCCGGCACTGCGGCTCACTAGGCTAATCCTCCACCTGCGGCGCTGGCACACCGGGTTCTAGTCCGGCCGGGGCACCAGATTCTGTCCCGGTTGCTCCTCTTCCAGTCCAGCTCTCTGCTGTGGCTCAAGAAGGCAGTGGAGGATGGCCCAAGTGCTTGAGCCCTGCACCCGCATGGGAGACCAGGAGGAAGCACCTGGCTTTAGACTGGCCGTGGAGACCATTTGGGGGGTGAACCAATGGAAGGAAGATCTTTCTCTCTGTCTTTCTCTCACTGTCTAACTCTGCCTGTCAATAAAAAAATAAAAATTAAAAAAAATTTTTTTAAAAAGTTTCTAATCCAATAGTTGGAACTCAGTAGGTATTGGTTAACAGCAAGTGCCAGGGCAGCAAACAAGATCCCATGGGTCATTTTCAAATGTATGCACAGTTAATATCCCTTCCCTGGTACCTTATTCACTTGTTTGTTTTTCAGAAAAGAGTTTCATACAATGTTGCTGCAATCAGGGTTGATGGAGTTTAGGACACTAAGCTACGTATCTTCTCTACACTTACAGAGCCCATATCCCTTGTCCCTGTCACTGCCTTATTTACAGCCCCACAGCTCTGCTTTCCCAGAGCAGGATCATCATGTGAACTCAAGCACAGCGGTCTGGTCCCTGGAAAACAGAGTCCCTTGCCAAGGAGATGCAGACACGGAGTTCAGCTGAGATCTCCCCATCACTCACGATAGTACTCTCTCCCCTGCACAGAAAGGAGACACGCACAAACGCCAGCAAGTCTTACCTCAACAGGGGGTGTCTCTCCCAGCAGCAGGTTATTAAAAATGGTGGCATAATCACCATTTAGATTCATCAGCTCCTCATGTGTACCTCTTTCTGTAATACAGCCCTCTTTCATGAAGATCACTTCATCACAGTCAACCAGATACTGGAAGGAGGCAGGGACAACATGGTGTTGCTGATAATTGTGCAAATACAGTCAAATACCCAGAGTTTCATCCAATGCTTCCCAACTGGAGGTGATGTAACCTCCCAGGGAACATGTGGCAACATCTGGAGACATTTTGGTTGTCACAGCTGGGGGCAGAGATACTACTGACACCTAATGGATAGAGGTCAGGGGTGCCCAAGGCAGCACCCCACAACAAACAACAATCTGGCCAAAATGTCAGTAGTGCCAAGATTGAGAATCTTGCTATGGCTTATTGTTCCTTGTGGTGGAGGTCAGAGAGAGAGCAGTTCCTCCAATTGTTGACACAAGTCTGCTGATGGAGCCACATGAGCCTTGTGCTGAATTTCATACCCTGTCACTACACACAAAAGGACACACAATTACAGACTTTCCACGACAGAATGGGGGCTAGCCCCACACGCTTGAAAACATATGTGAAGCAGTTGGCAACTTCTCTGAGCTGCTCTCCAAGGTGGCAGCTTGTGGTGGAATGACAGAGGGGGAACAGCTTGTTTTCCCAAAACACTTCCCACTTGCATGTAGCTGTTAACACAGTGCTTTCCTAATGGTCTCACACCGAACTCCATTTTTGCCTCACTCTTCTTAGCCTTTTTACTGCTGCTGACAGGAAGGAGCCGATGTGTTCCCAGGATCTCTGGTTCAGATGGCCAACTGGTACATAGTACAGTGAGCTTTATTGGACCAGTGGGCCAAGGGAATGAAAACTGTTGATTCCAAGAACCTGTCATTGCCCCACAAAAATACCTGGATCAAACCCACCTCCCTGATTCTGATTTTCTGAGCCAAGGTGGGCAGCCTCGGGAAGACAGCACCATACCTGTAACTGGTGAGTAACAAACAGAACCGTCTTGGACTTGAGGTGCTTCCGGATAGCACTGTTGAAGATGTGGTTGCCCACGTGGGCATCTAAGGCACTGAGGGGGTCATCCAGGATGTAGATGCTCCTATCACTATACAAGGCCCGGGCCAGGCTGATCCTCTGGCGCTGTCCACCGCTCAGGTTGGCTCCTCGCTCGCCAATCTATGGAAGCCCAAAAGCACAGGGGAGCCTGCAGCTCAAGTCTGGAACAATGCTTAGAGGTCACCCCAGCCACCTCTCCTCTCCCAGACTCAAACTGGCTCCTTCTCTTGAATTCCCCTCCTCCCCTGGCTCCCTGCATAAACTGCCACTGTGATCCTTCCAGGAACTGGGGCAGTCAGTCCAGATGCCCTGTCTTCTCCCACAACTGTCTAGGAACCAACCAACCCTACATCTAGTCTTGACACTCCCCAGGGGAAGCCCCCTCCAACCCATTCTCCACATGGAGAAAGATCTTTCCAAAATACAAACCTGACCACACCTGACCCCTGCTTAAAACTTTCCAAGAGCCCCAAAAGGCAGAATCCAGACACACCAACAAGACACACATGCCAGACCTTATGCCCCCCAGCTTCTCAGCCTCCACCGCAGAGTACCCCTTCCAGAGCCTAGGACCTAAGCCACGTAAAATTATGTGCATGTTATGAACACATCTGACTATGTCAAGCCCTTTCTTGTACTTTGCTCAATTCTGGCATCGCCTCCTCTGTGAACCTTCCCCCAAGCTCTTCTCCACTAATGCCCAGAAGATAGGGGGCTCTTCCTCATCAGGTTATGGTGTGGCTGTTAGCTGAGGAGTCTTAACATCTTAATAGTAAACCTTCTGAGGGTGCAGATTATGGTCCTATTCCTTTATGCTGCCAGTGGCAAGCATAAAGGACATGTACTTTCTGTACTTGTCCTTGGCCTACAACTAGCACTAAGTGTCACTAAATGAACCAATGAACAATCAGTCACCAAACAGTAACTGGGTTTGTGTCTTTTAAAAATCTTGTCATGGGGGCCAAGGTATGTCATCCCACATCAGAGTGCCAGTTCAAATCCCTGATGCTCTGCTTCTGATCCAGCTCCCTGCTAATGTGCCTGGGAAAGCTATGGAAGATGGTCCAAGTGGCTGGGCCCCTACCACCCACATGAGAAACCCGGATGGAGTTCTGGGTTCCTGACTTCAGACTGGCCCAGCCCAGGCTGTTGTAGCCATTTGGGAGGTGAGTCTGTAGAAGAAAGATCAATCTCTCTCACTCTTTCTCTGGCAATCTGACTTTCAAATAAAAAACAAACAAACAAAAAAACACTGGCCTAACACATTGGTTGGTTGGGGCCAGCATTATGGCACAGTGGGTTAAGCCACCACCTGTGACACCAGCATCCCATATGAGTGCTGGTTGAAATCCTGGCTGTTCCACTTCCAACCCAGCTCCCTGCTTATACACCTGGGAAAGCAATGGAAGATGGCCTGAGTACTTGGGTCCCTGCCATCCATGTGGGAGATTTGGATGGAGTTCTTGGCTGCTAGCTTTGGCCTGGCCCAACCCCGGCTATTGGAGCCCCTTCGGGAGTGAACCAGCAGATGGAAGATCTCTCTCTCTCTCCGTCTCTCACTCTCTGAAACTCTGCCTTTCAAATAAATAAATGATTCTTAAAAAAAAAAAAAAAAGGAATTGGTTGGGACAGCCACATCCTACATTAGAGTGCCTGGCTTTGAATGCTGGCTTTGCTTTTGATTTCAGATTCCTGCTAATAAACACCCTGGGAGGCAGCAGGTGATGGCTCAAAGACTTGGGCACCCATCACCCACATGAGAGATCTGGATTGAGTTTCAGCCTGGTTCAGCACTGGCTATTGTGGGCATTTAGGGAGTGACCCAGAGGATGGACACTCTCTCTCTAGAGCACTTGTGCTCTCTCTCTCTCTCTCTCTGCTTTTCAAATGCATAATATATATATATATATGAACATATATAAATTATATATATTTTTTAAATCTTCTCCTTAAAAATGCTTAATTACTTCAGTGGTTTTCAGACTTGACATGCATCAGAACCACCAACAGGGCTTGTCAACTAATGTTGGGCCATCCCCTCGAGTTTCTGATTCAGCAGTTCTGGGGTTCAGTCCACCAATCTGTGTGTCTACCAAGTCCTCAGGCAACGCTAATGCCACTGATCTGAGGACCACTGTTTGGTCTGAACTCATGAAACTATTCACTGAATCTGGTGTGAGGGATATAACTGAAGTCAGCTGGATCACAGTGCCCGCCAGAGCCCTGCAGGCGGCTCCTGGAGACAAGCTTTAACAGGAAGAGCACCAACTAGTTCCAAGGCGCACCCCTGCAAACTGCTCCAGGGCAGAGAACCAAAGAAAGGTGCATTGTTCTACCACTCCTTCCTAATGGAAGAGGATGCTGTAGACTGCGTCTGAGCAAGGAGGCTGGCAGAATGAAATTCAGGGAAGAAACTCAGTGCACACACTTGACTTGCGGCTTTAAAAAATATTCAAACAGGGGCTGGCACTGTGGCAAAGTAGGAAAAGCTGCCGCCTGCAGTGCCGGCATCCCATATGGACACCAGAGTCCCAGCTGCCCCACTTTCGATCTAGCCGCATCAGTCATTTGGGGAGTGAACAAGCAGATGGAAGCTCGATCTCTCTCTCTCTCTCTCCCTCCCTTCCTCCTTCCCTTCCTCCCTTCCCTCTGCCTCTCTGTAACTCTGCCTTTCAAATAAATAAATCTTTAAAAAATTCAGAGTGAAAAACATTAAATCCACATCAACAACAGGGTTTTTGTTTAAAATCCACATGCATGAAACATCAATGTACTGAAAACAAGCAGTGTTACTTTCCTGCCCTAATGAACAAATACCATCCCAACAGAAAGGTCCAACGACAGCAAAACTCCTTGTGCAAGACTTCTGCCAAGCATTGAAGATGAGCTCCTTGGGGATGGCTCTGGCACAGCCCTGCCACCCGTCTCCCAGAACCCTCTCTGTGGGCCTGTACCTCAGTCAGGTCACTGTTGGGAAGAATGGCCAGGTCAGGCCTCAGGCAGCAGCTGTTCAGCACAGAATTGTATCTGGAGGACACAAGGAGACACAGGGTCAGGGTCATGGTTGGAGCAGCGCCTGCAGACTTGGGCTGCCTTGCTTTTCACGTGGCCAAGATGGAAAGCACGATAGGAACCAAACACTCCTTGCCTTTCTTCATCAAATTCCTTCCCGAAGAGGATATTGTCTCTCAGGGTGGCATTGAGGATCCAGGCCTGCTGGGCCACGTACGCGAAGGTTCCGCTGATGGCAATGCTGCCCTCCAGAAGCGTCATCTAGGGAGACAGACACCAGCCAAAGGCATCACGACTCAGAGCCACCACCTGATGCCTACAGGACGCCCTGCATTCCACAGTGCAGTCTAAAGTCTGCCCATTTCTGGGCCTGAATTCAGACCCCTCCTTTGTTCCAAAGGGAGTCACAGCAGCAAAGAAAATCCAAGCTTTCCTTGCGCCTGTGTGACGAGAGCCCAGCATAACCTGTGAGTGGAATGAGCACGCCACACAGCAGCCTGCTTGCTGTTTACTCTCCTCCTTCCTAACTGTAAACTATTTTAACCCAGGAGGCACAAGCAAGAGGGTCTCCCTGCAGGGATGCTGCAGATCCCTGCACCCTCAAGATGAGGGCAGGCCAACTCATCTACAAAATGCCCTTGGGATGGTGCCCAGACCAGCTGCTGCTGCAGAGTGAGGACCCAAGGGGGAAAAACTCCAGGTTAGACACCCACTGTATCACACGATGTCCATCTGAGGATGGCGGATCCTTCCCTCTGACATGAAGAGACTGCACAAGGACTCACGCACTCTGAATTGTGTTTTCAGTTGCAGGGATTGATGTGAATTAATTTACCCATTTTATCATGGTTCCCTTTGGGCCTGAAGGTAGACATCTGCCTTGGGTTAGGGATGCCGGAGCCTTGAGTTTTGTTAACCAGCCTATGTAGTACTTGCACACACATGCTGTTCCCACTACAACCTTTGGTATAGACACCCTGGCTGTAGCTCGGCACTACCCACCCACGCACCCTGGTGTGTGCTTCCACGTGGTTCAGAAACCCAGGGAGGGTCTCTGCGGAAACTTGGCTCTTCTGGCTACTGCTGCACGAACGCCCCTGCTGCAGCTCTGACAGTGGAGAGTTAAGGTGAAAGAAGCAAGCTGGGCAGCAGCCAGAGACAGGGCTGCCAGGATCTGATGGGGGACAAGGCCTCACTTGGTTTGCAACCTAACTATTGTCTTGCCAGCCTTCGAAAAAGGAGTATCTTGCTAGACAGCCAGAAGTACCTGGAATCGGCCTTTCTGTTCCTTCCCCTATGCCCCGCCTCTGTCTTAACGCTTGGCCCTTCGACCCGGCAGCATCACAAATCCCCAGGAAGCCCAGCAAACAGAGCAGGGCTGCCCCACGTGGCCTGAGCCACAGTATCTCAAACAGAGCAGGGCGGCCCCACGTGGCCCGAGCCACAGTATCTCAAACAGAGCAGGGCAGCCCCACGTGGCCCGAGCCATAGTATCTCAAACAGAGCAGGGCAGCCCCACGTGATCCAAATGCAGCTGTCCTCACACCACCCTGGGCACTTCGATTCACCAACTGTGACAGGGGTCAAACAAGAAAGTCCATGCCCTGCAGGCACACAAACACCTTACCCCAGCCCTGCCCCCACTGTTTCACTTCCTCAACAAGGATCTTGCCTACCAGGAAGGGAAATGATCTCATTCTATCCCCTTCTCACTCCAGCTAGTCAAACTGAAGTTTAAAACTGGGTACCTTGGGGGCTGGCCTTATGGTATAACGAGTTAAGCTGCCTCCTGCAATCCCAGCATCCCACATGGGTGCCAGTTCAAGTCCCAGCTGCTCCACTTCCAATCCAGCTCCCTGTGACTGCGCCTGGGAAAGCGATGGAAGATGACCCAAGTGCTTGGGCCCCTGCAACCATGTGGGAGATCCAGAGGGAGCTCCTGGCTCCTGGCTCTGGCCTGATCCAGCCCCGGCTGTTGTGGCCATTTGGGGAGTGAACCAGTAGATGGAAGCTCTCTATCTCTCCCTCCCTCTCTCAATGGAACTCTGCCTTTCAAATAAATAAAATAAATCTTTCAAAAAAAATAGTGGGTACCTTGTTTTGTTCTGACTACGGGATCCTAAAACATAGTCAAGACAGCCTGTCTCGGCCAGCTGACCCTCACCCTGACCCTTGCTCTCAAAGCTGAGGGTGGCTGCTGGACCCCCTGTGCATGGCTCCCTCACCACCTGGTGATGTGCTGCGGCATCTGGGAGGCCCAAGCCCCACTGCAACGGGACCCCCTGGTGCCTGTAAGCCCTTCTGCGCTCAGGGTGAAAACCAAATGGAGCTCGGCTCCCAGATCAAACCCTCACATCCTGCCTGACACAGAGGCTGCAGCGCCGGGGCTCTGCCTCTTCACAGTTTAATTCTTCCTCAGCTGGGCCGCAGGGGCTGTGCCTCGCCTGTCTTGGCCATTGCTCACCACGCTGCCTGGCATAAGGTGGCGCTCAATACATACACGCTGAACAAAAGAGACAAACGGCTGCAGCTAGGCACTGCCCGGCCAGTCCTGCACCAGGTGTCCCCGGACCCCTTCCAGGCACAGCACGCAGACCCAGGGTTCATTCTTGTTGCCACCTTTTCTGACTCAGCTCAGGGAATGAGTTCATTTTTCCTGAGACCTTTGCTAGGCAAAGACCCGAAAAAGCAGAAAATGCCACGGACAACAACAAACATCTTACCTGGCCTAAAATGGCCGAGATGAGTGAGGTTTTCCCACTTCCCACACTGCCACAGATTCCAACCAGCTTACCCTGGACAAAGCACACAGAGGGGAGAAGTCATTAGGGCACTATGGTACACTCATCTACAAGGACCTGCGATCCCGTCGAGGACACGCGGGAAGGCCATCCATCTGGGAGCATCATCGTGAAGACCCAGGAAGTCATTGGCCTGCCTTCTCATCTGTTAGCTACCTCTGGGCTTCTGTGGGGATACACGGGGGGAAACAGAAATGGAAGCTTCTGGGAAAATTAAACATGCTGCACACACTGAGACACCCCACAACAACCGTGTGCAGCACCAGCATCCCGTACCGGAGTGCCAGTTTGAATCCTGGCCACTCCACTTCTGATCCAGCACCCTGCTAATGCACCTGGGAAGCAGCAGGTGATGGCCCAAATCCCTGGGTCTTTGCTACTCATGTGGGAGACCTAGATGGGGTGCCTCTCTCCTAGCTTCAGCCTGGCCTGATCCCAGCTGTTGTGATCAGTATATGAAAGATCTCTCTCTCTCTCTTTCCTACCCTTTTCTCTCATGATACGCTCTCGTTCTGCCTTTTACACAAATAAGTATATTTATGTGAAAGGCAGATAAAAGAGAGACAGAGGCAGAGACAGAGAGAGGTCGTCCATCCACTGGTTCACTCCCCAGATGGCTGTAACAGCCAGAGCTGGGCCAATCCGAAGCCAGGAACTAGGAGCTTCTTCCGAGTTTCCCACACAGGTGCAGGGGTCCAAGGACTTGGGACATTTTCTACTGCTCTCCCAGGTCACAGCAGAGAGCTGGATAGGAAGTGGAGCAGCTAGGACTTGAACCAGTGCCCATATAGGATGCTGGCACTGTAGGCGGCAGTTTTACCCGCTACACCACAGTGATGGCCCCATAAATAAATCTTAAAAAGAATCCCACAATCACTTCCAGAAAGGCCTCACCCCTTCCCAACTTTGTTGGTAACACATGATTTTTGTTTGTTTTTGGTCATTTTTTTTTTTTGGAAGAGTGGGCAAGACTTTTGAAAATTATTTTATTGTAATTTTTCTCTAGGGCCTATACATTATTTTAATTGAAAAACTCTACACACTGTGGCTTCCATTTTTCTCCAATATTTCCAAGCCTTGGAAATATTTCCAAGAATCTGAAGAATATTTATATCATCAAGGCAAGAAATGGAAAACCAAGCTGGTGATTAAGAGGTAAGACAGAGTTTCTAGCAGGTGGTACTGACGTCTTCAAGGACAGCAGAGCGCGGGTGTGGAAAGAAGCTGGCTTCTGGAGGCAGACAGGCCTGACTGAACGCCAGCTCCCCTGGCACGTGCCGTCAGCCTGATCCTGGCCAGGTACTCCAACCCATGCTGTGCCTGTCTCCCTCATGGCACCCCCAGCACCGTGAGGAAAGGAGTTGCTCTTGTAGGGCCAAGCACAGTGTCTGGTAAGTAGTAAAAGCAGGTTGATCTAATGGCTGGGGACACGGGCCAGGAGCGTAAAAGATCCCAGTGACAAGGGGGTCAGGTCACAGTTCCTTGCTCAGGTCAGTTGGGTCTCCCCCAAGAGCACCACTGTTCTGATGACTGAGGGAGATGCCAACAGTGGAGCAAGTGTCTCACGCCCAGGAGGCGCGTGGCAGACACTACTGGTCCTTCCCGAGGTAAGGGAAGGACTCGCTCCACATGGCTGAAGCCTGTGGATTCTGAAGGGCAGAACAAGGACCAAGCCACACAACAGAAGAGCAAATCTGAGCCAAGTGGGAGGAATAATTCTCTAACAGGGCTGCTGCATCAGTACATCAGCAGGACACTGTGCAGTCCTTAAACAGGAAGCCTGCCTTTAAGGGTGAAATTAAAGTGGCCAGCTTTGTGGATTAAGCTGTCACAGGCAACAATGACATCTCACGTGGGTGCCAGTTCAAGTCCTGGCTGCTTCACTTCTGATCCAGCTCCATGCTAATGTGCCTGGGAAAGCAGTGAAGGCGGCTCAAGGGCTTGGGCCCCTGCACCCACGTGGGAGACCCAGATGGAGTTCCTGGATCCTGGCTTCCACCTGGCCCAGCCCTGGCCATTGTGGCCATTTGGGGAAGTAATCCAGCAAGTAGAAGATTCTCTCTCTCTCTCCCTCTCTCTCTCTCTGCTTCTACCTCTCTTTCTCTCTGTAACCCTGACTTTCAAATAAATACATACATCTTTTTAAAAAAGACCTCTCAAAATATTTAAAAAAAACTATCATTCTGCCTTTTTAATAAATAAAAAATTCTTAAACAAAAAGGGCCAGTGTTGTGGCACAGTGGGTTAAGCCACTGCCTGAAACAATGGCATCTCATATGAGTGCCAGTTCAGGTCCTGGCTGTCCCGCTTCCTGTCCAGCTCCCTGGGAAAAGCACTAGAAGATAGCTCAAGTACTCAGTCCCCTGAGACCCAAATGAGAGACCCCAGTGGAGTGCCAGACTCCTGGCTTTGGCCTGGCCCAGCCCTGGCCATTGCAGCCATTTGGGGAATGATGGAAGATCTCTCTTTTTCTCTGTCTCTCCTTGTCTCTGTAACTCTGCCTTTCAGATATAAATAAATCAATCTCTAAAAAGTATCTAATTAATTAATTTTTTTTTTTTAAAAAAAGAGTGAAGTTAGTAAGGACCCGTGTACCCTCCGGTGAGGACTACACTCAGGTTCCAGGCGGGCTAAGGACGGTCTCCCATCCTCACTTACAGCTGTCAAGGGCCGGAAGCTCTCTGTCCGCTCCTCAGCCAGCTCCGGACTTGCTTAAGAGGCCTCTGTTCAGTTGCTGATTTTGTTACGCACCACACATGCTCCTTCCTCCCGGCCACTCTGGCGGGTACTTCTTACTCACTCCATCACCACTGCCCCTAGTCCGAGGCCGCCCTCTCTCTCTCAGCTGCCGGCAGTAATGCGTCCCTACCCGCTGTCCTGAGGCCAGCAGCCACAGCGGTTTCCCGCGTACGTGAGTCAGAATGACTCCTGCTCCACGTCCATGAGCAGCGTCTCTCCCCACTCGGGGCAAGGCCGCGGTCTCTCTGGAGGAGACAGCACCCCCACGGCCTCCCTGCCCTCAGCACCCACTCCCACGCTGCTCCGGTAACAGGGGCACCCTAGACTCAGGTGGCGTTTCTGTTCCTTCACCCTGGAATGCCCTCCCCACCCCCAGACAGCCACAGGGCTCACTTGCTCCCTCCCCTGGTTCCCGTCTTGGCTCAAATACCACTTCCTAGCGACGCCTGCCCTCAGGCGGCCTTTTCCATGGCCTGCGGTGTAGTTCACAGGTGGCTGTCTACCCTTGCTCCGGCAGGGCAGGGAGTCGGGTCTGCTTGGGTTTTTGCGGCTGTGTCCTCAGCCCTACGGTGCCTGGCCTGGAACTGGCACTCACAGTCAGCTGCTGAGTGAATGAATGCACATGCGCCTGGGGCCCTGCCAACGAGACAGCCCTCCACACACGGCGATGGCCCCCAGTCCGAGTCCGGGAGTCTGTTCCGGCCACCCTCCCGGGAGGGCCTCCGACACTTCAGTCCTGCGCTATCTGGGCAGTGACATCATTTCTAAAATGATCCTTCACTTACGTTCCAAATAAGTAATTACAACAGAATTGCTGACAAGTGCAGCACGGGAGGCACACATTCTGTGCCAGGTTCTGTGACACGTACAGCCTGGTGGCAATGAGGGACTCACACAGTTATAATGCCCAGACGTAACTACCACAGCTCCCATATGACTGCAACAACCAGAAAGCTACTTAGGGCGTAATCTTGGAAAACCCATTTAATGGAAATTACTAACAACCGATCTCATGGCGATGCCCCTTTTACAAGCAAGGAAGTGAAGCTTTTTGTTAAATGCCCAAATATCCCTTTTAGAGTCAGGGCTGGCCAGGTTTGCTCTTAGTTCAAAACCACTCACAGCTGCTGAAAGGACCGGCCACTGCCTGCCCTTGGAGGGCAGGGGAGGCAGGGGAGGCGGGCCACGCGCGCGGGTTACCTCTTGGATTTCCAGGTCGATGTTGTAGAGCGCCCTCTGCAGGCGCAGGCTCCCCAGGTGGATGTGCTTGCCTTCCTCCTCCTCGGGACTGGGCCGCTCGTCACTGTCCAGGAGCAGGTGGCCTCTCTGCTCTGCCAGCACGGCCTGATGCTCAGTGCGCTGCAGCTGCCTCGCCTTCTCTTTCTTGCCCCTGGCAGCCCTCTTGTCTTTTTTCATTTTGGGGCTCAGCTTGGGCGAGTTCTGGACACTGGAGTGGGAGGAGTCCCATGCCAAGGTGGCACTTTTCACCTCTATCTTGATGTGAGGGTTGGCTGGTTTGTTCTTTATCATGTGAACCTCTTCCATTAGAAATAAACTCTGATAGGAGTTGTGAGAGAGGTGCAAAGATGAGACACTGGATCAAGACCAGGGAGACAAGCCTAGGGCGCACACTCACGTAGCAAAACACATCAGGCTATACAGTGGAAGGAAGCTGAAGGGCAAAAGGTAGCTCATTAGTGCAGCCTCGCCTCAGGCCCATCAGGGGGTCCCAGGAGTGTGGGGACGAGCTCAGGAGGTACCGGGGCAGCCAGTGACCCACCTCTCTACACCTGCAATTGCAGGCTGAACTACCTTCTCCTTTTCTACCTGGCTAATGTGGACCAAAGGCCTGTACCTAACGGGTGTGCAGCCCTGAGCAGCAAGCAGGTGCACACTGATCCCCCCCCCACCCTCCCCACCTGCTTTCTTCCTAGGCTCCTGCAGAATCCCACAGCTTGCTCACTTCCTCACCCACAGCAGGGCACCATCTAGGGAGACAGGCAATCGGAGACATCACCAGGCATGGGAAAGAGGAGCTTTATTGATCATCGAGGACATCTTGCCAAGAGAGCCTCGTGTCTTCAAAGCCCTGCCCTGGAACCTGTGGGAGTTCAATCAAGCAAAGGCACAGAACTGCGTGGAAGTGAAGGGCGTCGCCCTGAGAAATATCTCTGGGAAATCAACAGGGCTCTTTCTTCCTGCTTGTTCCTAGGGTCTCCTTGAGTCAGGTGACAGGGAAGAAAAATGCAACCCTTGATGAGAAAAGCATTTCTGAAGTCTTAGGGACCTGCATTGTGGCACAGTGGGTCTTAAACCACCACCTATATTGCTGGCATCCCATTCAGGTGCTGGTTTGAGTCCCAGCTGCTCTGCTTCCAATCCAGCTCCCTGCTAATGCACCTGGGAAGGCAGCAGAAGATGGACCAAGTTCATCTTCAGTTCCCTGAAACCCACATGGGAGACCTGGATGGAGTTCCAGGCTCCTGGCTTCAGCCTGGCTAAGCCCCAGCAGTTGCAGCCATTTGGGGAGTGAACCAGTGGATGCAAGTTCTGTTTCTCCCTCTCTATAACTCTGTCTTTTAAATAAATAAATAAATCTTTTAAAAAAAGAAAGAAGTAAAGAAAGAAAGAAAAAAATAAGTGTTTCTGAAGTCAGACCAGAAACACTGCCCATGAGGAATCCCAGACCAGGACTTTCCTGTGAGACTCTGAGCCCACCCCTGCCCCTCCTCTCAGCCAATGGTTTCCTCTATAGAATGCTGCCCTGTTGTATTCCCAGGATGATTTTGAGGAAAAGAGTTTTAACTAAACAATTAAAAACAACATCAGAAACTCTTTAGAGGAGTGATGGTTTCTCGAGCTTGGTTACTGAGAACTACAACTACCTTCAGGTTTGCAGGTGCTATTATATGTAATATGCACTCCCTTTTCTAAAACAAACCCTTTCTCTAAATTTCTAAGCCTGTTCTTTCCCTCCCTTTGGTCACCACATCTCCCCTTCATTTCTAATCCCCACTCTTCCCAGAAGTGTCACATTTCTAAATGTCCTAGATAATCTTCATGTCTGATCCACCTTAGGTTTAGCACCTGCCTTCCTAAAAGAGCTGTTGGTTTCACTTGTTCAGATTGTTTCTCAGAGACTGAGCTAAGAATAACATGCTGAGAATTTTGATCACTTTCCCAGAGTAAAACTATATGCTGGTAGAATTCTCTTAATTGCTGTCCCTTGAAAGTTATTGAAAGGACAAAGGTCCTCTTGGCCTCAATGAACTATTAAGAAACATGCTGGTGGCACGTATTAGTTGCAGAGTTCTTCCTCGACTTTGCCTTCCCTCTCCCTGCAGCCCTGCCCTCCTCCTGGGAGGCTTTTGGCTTCGGGTCAAACTGAGGCAGACAAGGGCCCCACAACACCTGAGTTTGTATCTACTTGGCCATGCCCCTGCCAGGATAACCGAATCTGAGAAGTACAGCAAACCACAAGCCCAAGCTTCATGGTGGACACTGAGCATCACAGGACCCTCATTCACTAGCAAAATCAATAACAACAACTCTGTTGAGTGGATGAGGGGAGTGCTCACGGGGTTAACAGATAAAATGCAAGACACTCCCTTAAATGTGGATTCCAGAGGAACCAGGAATAAACTTTTCAGTCCAAGTATGTCCCGGGTAGTATTTAACTGGGCATCCTGACTTTTCAGTTGTGAACACTGGCTCCTTAATGGTGACAATCTGAGCAGAAAAACTACAAGGTGGCTTCTCATTGCCCCGCCACAGATCAGCACCCTCCTAGAAATTTGCTCTTTCTATCCTTTACTATCCCACTCAAGAGGAATCAACAAATTCTTTGGCAATATACCCTTCCAGGACAGGTCAAATAGAAAAAAAGCTATCCCTGCCTATCGATCAGATCTTCAGCTGAAAAAAGAAAGGAAGAGATGCAAAACAAAAAGGCATGTGGCAAAAAGTAGGGTTCCCTGCATCTTCACCGAATTTCAAGGTCTGCGAAGTACATGAAAGAGGCCAAGTCCTGTCCTGGTCATTCTCTTGTCTGTCCCTAAGGCACAATGGGAGAGCGGACGCTTTGGGGGACATAGGCTCTCAGCAACACTTGCATTGAGGCTGCTGCTGTTCTCAAATGCTGCCTTGGATGACACCCAGGACTGAGACAGGTTCCCTTTAATGTACTCAGAAAAAACAAACAATTGCCTTTGACCTACCAAACAGTCCCCTCCCCCCAACCCTAATGAAGTCAGTGTAATTTCTAATTAATGAACACCTGGACATAATAAAAACCGGCTTAGGATTGGGGAAGGATTAAGTAATAAATCCTTGCTATCTTGGGCTAAGCACCTACTTACAAGAAGAAGAAGAGGGAGAGAAAACAAAAAAGACTGCCAAGAGGAATAAGATAGGATGGGTTGAAGTCTCACGGGGCAATTAACAGAGCTGTGGGTGACTGAGCTTCTGTTCCTAACCGTGAAACTTCCTGGAAGGAGGAAGGAGCTGTCCTGTGAGAAGCCACCTGCTAATAATGCCAGTCCTAACAAGTGGCAAGAAGACAGCCCTCAAACAGCAAGCAGAGAACAAACCTACACTACACACTCTTAGTGCTTCATCCAGGAAGCTACCACACGTCCATTCACTAGAAAGGCTAGACAAACAGGGGAGAGAACATATGGTCAAAACCCTTGCTTTCTTCCATGGCTGGGTATCGTGAGCTCAGCAAAATACAGCTCAACCATTAGACTCTGGCTCCCAGCCTTGTAGGAGCCAGGCTGGGGTACAGGAGGACCTGGGGATGTGTTCTTAAGAACCAGCTCTCTTGACCAAACAAAATTCACCTTGGTAACTGTAAACAAGTAGAAGAGAAATAAATCCCAGGAAGCCTTCAAAGGAGAACACAATTTGCTTCCTCCTGAACCTCCAGGCTGGTGACAGCCACCCCTCAGAGGCTTCCAGCTTCCACGTCACCAGCGTTGCATCTGTGCCCTCACTCTCACTGGCAAAGATGGGTGAGCCCTGGCACTGTCAGGGACTTCTGGCCTACACAGTGCTGCTTTCAGTAATATTTTTTTAAAATTTTATTTATTTGACAGGGAGAGTTATAGACAGAGAGAGAGAGACAGAGAGAAAGGTCTTCCTTCCGTTGGTTCACCCCCGAAATGGCCACTACTGCCAGAGCTGCGCCGATCCGAAGCCAGGAGCCAGGTGCTTCTTCCTGGTTTCCAATGTGGGTGCAGGGGCCCAAGCACTTGGGCCATCCTCCACTGCCCTCCCGGGCCACAGCAGAGAGCAGGACTGGAAGAGGAGCAACCAGGACAGAATCCGGCGCCCATATGGGATGCCGGTGTCGCAGGCGGAGGATGAACCAAGTTAGCCATGGCGCCGGCTCCAATTAGTAATATTTTTAAAGGCATTAACCCCTATCCTCCCAAATACATCCCCCTTCTGAGTCATGTGTCTATATTATTCTGAAGGCACAAAGAGCATTCCTAGGGTGATTAACTGCCTGCCTGTAGGATGAAGGCCTGGCACCTACTTAACTGCGCTTCTCAACACGATCTAGCTTGAGGACTGTTTCCATGTCTCTGCATTCCCCGTGTCATGAACGGCAACCCCAGGGCAGGAAAAGGGAAGGATCAAAAAGGACTCGGCATGCCGGCCAATCAGAATGCCAGCAGCAAGGGTTGGCAGGAGGAAAGCTTGACAGTCACCTGCCAGTTCGGGTCTTCTGGGTTTAAGTCCCTTGAAGGCCCAGCAATATGACATAGACCTTTGTCAGGCCCAGGCAGCAGGGCCAGCTCACAGGGGAGTGCTGGAATCCTGCAAGGCCAGGAGTAGGCTGTCCAGGAGATGTCAAAATTCACATCAGTTTAAGAAGGTAACAAGTCTCGCCCTTCATTCAGCCTCCTCGCTGCCCCCTTCTTGCCGACCTGCCAGAAGGCTAAAGGCGAACTTGAGCCCCGAGTGGCCAGCATGAGCAGGCCCTTGGAATAGCTGTAGTTGTGCCAGGATGGCTCCTGACGTGGGGGAGGGGAAAGAAGCCACTTACCTTAAATCTGTCGACAGCAACTGATGCTTCCGAGAGGGACTTTACTGAGAACGGTGTAACTTTCAATGCAAATGTCATGGAATTGAAGACAGTCACCACTGTGAAGGCCTGAAAACAGGAAAAGAGGAGAAACTGAGGCTGACTGGGCCATGGGAGTGACATCACAAGCCTCCATCCATGTCCTCCGAGATGTCTGGGAGGCTGCACCTTGGCCATGAAATGTTACTGTAAGTCACACGTAGTTTTTCATGACTTTCAATTAAAAGTCTCAGTGAGTCTGACCCACAGGCTGACCTGTGCATTCAGAATTAAACCCAAACCAGGTTGACTAAAAACCTGCAGGCTATTCGGCTCCTTTATTCTTCCACTTCCTGATTTAATCACAGGAGTGAAAAAGTACCTAACCCCTAGAGGAACCTTCTAATCCAGTACCAAGAAGACCAAAGCACCTCTGTGCACTGCCAAGACGGTCCCCACCCCCGACAGCTCCCTGACCTGTGCTGCGGTCAGGTCGAAGCCCAGGGTCATGTGGACGGAGAACGTCACCACACTGGCAATCACCACCACGATGGGGGCCACGCCGACCGTGATGCTCTGGAAGTACCCAGCCTTCTCCAGTATCCGACGCTCCTCCTCTCGGATTTCTAGGGACAGAAAGAAAGGCGATTTCAATGCAAGTCAGAGGAGACTTTGGGATGTTTTCCTCCACTGCCCAACAAGACTCTGCAGGTCTTCAGGAATAGGTTTTAAAACACCCCTTAACACCCACGTTGCAAATACTAGGCCCACACGACCATCGGTTCCATCATAAAGGCTGGTACAAAGCCTGAGTGTCAATAGATCAAGTCACAGGAATGAATCCAACAGAAGTCATTGCTACATATTCTACAACGATCATTTGGGGTCTTTTTCTGACTCTTCTTGTTGGCTTCTTGGGTTTAGAAGCAATGAACATATTAACTGTATCTACAGTTGGCAGTTTCATTTGCCTAGCGGACTGCTGTTCGGTTCTGCCTAGGGAATTACAGGAAAGGCTGCACGTTGGCACTGGGAAGCTGGAAGGACTAAGATTCCCTAGAGTGCCCGCTGCATGCTGGCCCTGGGACAGCAGCTTTCACACCAAACCCCACAAGGACGACTGGAAGTAGACGGGGGAAATGCAATTTCTATAGGCAGAATGGCTTTTCTTGAATACTTTCCAATAATATACAGCATTAAACAGTAGGAAGTAGGATGATAAAAATGGTAAGGGACTTTGAAGCATAAAAGGAATTCTCTGGAGGGGCTGATGCTCTGATCTTAAATGTATTGCCACTGCCCAGGGCATCGGGAAAACCTCACTGCTTTGTCATACGTATTGACCACATCCATCACGAGCAAGAATGTTTTCAAATGAACACACTTAGGCGATGGTAGCAAAGCCAGAGGCTGAAGGATGAGTGGCATCTCAGAAGGAAGATCATAAAACCATGGACTCTGAGAGCCCAGGAAGAGACTGTGGACAGTCATCCTGCCACCAACATACTTAACAGATGTCCATTTAGAATTCCACTTGGGTGGAAACAAACAAGCTACTTAACAAAGCAGCCCAAGCCACTGCGGGACATCAGAGCAGCCACCGCCTCTGAATGCTTTTCAACCTAACAGCCCTTATGCAGAAAGTGCAGAGTCCAGAGCTGGACGTGACATTCCTGGAGGTTTAATCACAGAAACCGAAACAGCTGCCTTGATCTGAACACTGCATGTTCACTCCACCTGATATTATGTAATGGCACTGCAGCATTTACGTTTAGTCAGCTGTCCATGAACAGCCCTTATCTTCTCTATTTAGATCAGGCTTGCTATACCTATGTATTCCTTTTTAAACTCTAAAAAGTACTTTTAAATATACTACCTGTTTAAGTCCCACTATTCCAACTTTTTTTTTTTTTTGAGGCTTTTTTGAATATCCAATCTGAGCTAATTCTTCCTCCCAGCGTTGTGGCATTTCTGTACTTGACGAGTGTATGCCTGCATTCAATTTACACACCAGGAGGGGGCCAGGCACCGTGAACCTTGAGACTCAATATAAATCAATTATTTAAAAAACACAAACAAGGAGGCAGAAAAGCCCCTAGTGAGTGGCAGAGCTAGAACCAGAGCCCAGCTGTCCTGACTCCCAGTTCACCCGTTGGGTAGGGTCACGCAACCACCTGTGATACGTTTGCCACCATGGAGTAGAGAATGCAAAAATAAAGAACGCTCATCTGATACTGCCTCCTGTAACACCCTCATGGCCAGGCCAGGAGAGGGTACACAGAGGGACTTTGAAAATGAATTAAGCCTAGCTAGCTGTTCATCTCCCGGGTCTTGCTTTCCCCATCTGTGGGTCATGGCAATGGGCTCCAATCACTAAGATTCCTCGTGAGCCTAAAAATTCTACCGTGTTACGATCTGACACTGGGAGCCCTGGCACCTAATGTGCTCAGGGAGCAGAGTGTGTGAACGATGAACCCAGCACATGCACATACGGGATCTTTAAACTCACTTTGAACGCTTTGAGAAAACGCTTTGACCCAGGCATACATTTTAATGAATTTAATGTAGGTAAGAACTTCATTCATCTTCTGGACGCGGTCGTCTGTGGCGGCTACACACTTTCTCCTGAAATATGCAGTGAGCCGTGATGCAAACATCTGCAAGGAAAGGCAACGCCAGGCAAGTCAGAGCCCAGACAGACTGCAGAACGCCTAATCTGCTCCAGGTTTTCTAAATAAAGCAAGCATATGATCTTGTTTTCTGGGACAGGCAGCTTCCAGGGGGCGATGCTGCTTTCTTTCTTTTTTTTTTTTTTTAAGTGATCTATTGAACTATAATCAAATATTACTTAATTCTTATCTCTTTATAAGGCCGTCAAGACAAATATTTGTTCTCAGAGATTACAGACACTGAGTGCCACCAAGGAGGAAGCAGGGGACGCAGTAGGCAGCACCTTGCAGGCGGAGTGTGATTCACACACTACTACTTCCTGAGGGCATGGGTACCTGCAGGCCTTCTCCTTCATGGGGACTCTCTCCCTCTGTTTTTTTTTTTTTGTTTGTTTGTTTGTTTGTTTGCTTGTCTGTTTGTTTTTGAGAGGCAGAGAGACAGAGACAGACAGAGATCTTTTATCCTCTAGTTCACTTCCTAATGTCCGTAACAGCCAAGCCTGGGCCAGGCTGAAGCTGGGAGCCCAGAACTCAATCCAGGTCTCCCACGCTGGTGGCAGAGACCCAAGTACTTAAGCCATCATCTGCTGCCTCCCAGTGTGTGCATTAGCGGGAAGCTGGGATCAGAAGCAGAGCCAGGACTTGAACCCAGGCACTCCAATATGGGATGCAGGCATCCCAACTGCTGCCCCAAATGCTCATCCTCAGACTGTTTCTACTGTCATTAGGAGCCACTGCCTTTATTCAAGTGACACCTTACTTCCTCTCAGGGGGCCTGAGCATGTCTACCTCTAGACTTGCTTAAACCAGGCACCAGGTACCTTCTTTGAGAACATTCTCGATCAGAGATTCGACACCTCAGTGATGGCTACTAGAACCCAATGGAAATAACCCGTCTCCTAGGAAACCTGCCAACATTCAGCCAGGAAACGTACTCACCATTGCTGGGTAAAAGAGGATAAAGACAGCTGATCCCAGGAAGCCTGTTGGTCCCAGAATAATTACATTATAGACCATGCCTAAGATGGCAACCACGGGTCCGCCTGCCAACAAGCTGCCAACGGCAGCTGCCTCAAACATCCTCTGGCCGTCGTTGGAGCAAATGTTGATGAGCTACGAGATACAAAGTGCAGTGAGGGACGACTCTGCGAGGAAGAGGAAGGGCAAGGGCGAGAGCCCCAGAGGAAAGACATGCTTAAGCCAGGAAGCTGCACTCTGCCAGAGAGCAAACACCGCCCCCCTCCGCCCCTCACCTCGCCCAGGGACTTCTCCTTGATGTTCTTTAACTTAAGGATCTTCTTAAATGCCATGGTCAGGATGGCCCCCCGCAAGCGGACACCGGTGCGGTAATTCAATGCCCAGGTCAGGGCGAGTGACCAGGATCGCACGATTTCTGTGAGGAGGAGGCCCAGGACTAACAGCAAGCTGTACTGTAGGTTAGACTCTGTGGCCTGGGTATACTCCAGGAGGTGTTTCACCACGAAGGCCTACAGGGAGAAACACACAGCACTGTGAACCCCTCCACAGCACCCACACACAACGCCACAGGTTTACGTTAAGTTAGAAAGAGTAGGCAGCTCGGCTGTGTGGCGATGAGCACGCCCTAAAGGAAGACACGCGTCTCGGGTGGCCAGGTACTACTGACCACCTGCGGGAGTTCGTTTATTCAAGGGCATCTGGCAGGAGGTGGGTCGAATTTGAATTCTGCCTCTGTTAGGACACCATGAAAACCGTTGCTCTTTCTAATGTAACATAAACCTGTCCATGAGCTGAAATTCATTCTAAACACATGGTCACTCAAAAGTATATATTTGACCTTATTCCAGTATCTGCACACATGGATACAGTTCTTTAATGGAATCAAGACCTTTCTTTGTATCGTTTCAAACGTGCTTATTTGATAAAAAGGAACAGTGTACCTACAGTTGTACTGGGGAAGAGTGAGAAGTGCATTTGCAAAACATTCCTGAAAATAAACATCAGCAGTTTAATAGTACAGAAGAGAGCAAACAAAGCAGACCACCAAAAATCCAGAGACCCTCCCCGGGCCCTCCCCACGCCCCACTCCCTCCCAAAAACAGAAACATGTTACCTCAGGTAGCATATGTCTACCACCACCTGCAGAGGGAAGGCAGCCAGCCCCCAAGAACCACCGAGTGCCGCCTCCAGCTCTGAGGTCCTGCAATGCCGCAGCACACACTCACACGAGGCACATTCAGCAACAGTATCAAATACCAGCAAGTGGGGAGGAACGTACTTTTATTGAAAGTGAAAAAATAGATATATATAAAAGTACCATCTGCAAAGAGCATCTCACAAACACTGTACAACAGGTGGAGCATTGCAGTAACATACAATGGCACATACAGAGTCAAGGGTTACAGGGTTAGCCATCTAACAGGTCAGCTGGCCTCCGGCTGTGGTTTTCACTACACACCACGGAGATACAGAATAGAACCAAGAGCTGTTTCCAGAGTCCGAGGTGGCACATCAGGCCGACAGCACTTAATCGGTTAGGGCTCCTGAAGTTGCAATCATTCTGCAATGGAGTGGATTCTCTAGGAACAAAGACCTTGCTGCTAAGGAAAGAGAATTAAAAAAACAAAACAAAACGAAGAACTCCCCCCTCCCCACTGGAAGGTACTCTGCTTAACACTGCTGGGGCTCCTCGTGCCCTAGGCTGTGAGGAGCTCGCTCTGCTCGGGACAGAATACAGAACGCTAGGCCTCTAGGAGAGACGGATGGCGGCCCTCAGAGTCTTTTCAAGTCCTTGTAGCTAAAGTTGAACTTGACAAAAACAAAATCAAACCGACCACCACAGAGGAAACGTCAAACCGATCCCCCATCCTAAGGGAAGAAAAGAGAATTAACTCAAAACCCATCCACCCATCTACCCCAGTTCCTTACAGCAAAAGGTTACGGCCGCTGAATGACGGACAAAAATGGAGGCCAGGCCCAGCTGTCCTGAGGTCACTAACGCTGCGTTTCAGAAGCCAGACTCTGAGTTAGCTTGCATTTCTCGTGCTTCCTGAGAGTCATACCAGACGTCCACCATGTGCTAGGAGATCCCCCCTCAAAACCCCAAAACCAGGCTTATGTTGAGTCCCAATAAATAATCTGACCAGAGAATCAGAGACGAGATATTAAGATCCCAAGAGCTACCGAGTTCCACCTCTCCCTCCCTCAGCTTTTTAGCTGATTCCTTCCCACTGTATGGGTCACCACTGCCCACGGCTGCGTTGCTGGTTTACTAGCAAGAAGAGTGGCTTCTTTTCCAGGACACAATCCAAAAAGGCGGAACTGAGCCACAGGCCCAGAGACCCTTTTTCCTCACGTGAAGCGACTCAGTAAGATGGCAGTGCGGTGACGCGTTTTCTCACACACCACGGCACGGACGGCCAGGCTCCAAAGGAAGGCGCGAAAGGACAGCAGGTTGTTGTGTGGGCTTCCTTCCTCCCCAGCCCTTTACAGTGCCGATTTCAGCACCGGGGGGCAATAGCATGAGCGCCTCCCAGAAGGGAGGAGCGGGGAAGGCCGAAAGACATAATGAACGTTTACACTTCGCAAAACTTTCAAAGGAGGGGGGAGAAAGAGCAAACAGCAGATTAAAGACTTTCCAACACACAGGGTTTTTAAAAAGCAATTGACATTTCAAACCATTTTGCATGGGATACAAGAAAAGAAAAAGGTTTTCATGAAAAAGAAAATCCAAACAAAATTCAGCTTTTTAAAAAAGTGATCAACGTATCATTTAAATCTAAACAAACTGGGAGCAAACTCGAGACTGTCAGCATAGCTGCCTGGCTGCGGAAAGCATCCCCAGCGAAGAAACGTTACCTTACCTGAACTCTTGGCGAGAGATTCCGCCCAGCTTGCCTCTCTCATTCTGACCGCAGAATACAGCCATCCTGAAAATTCTAAAGAACAGCTTCTGTCACTGGTACCACTACAGAGAGACTCCCCCCAAATCCAGATCCTGACAGCACCAAGCAAGCTGTAGCTGGAGACAGGCTGGAAGGCTGGGAGACTTACCTCTCTAAAGGCTTTGCACTGTCCTGTCACCAGAGGCCCCGGAGCCACATTAGCATCCACCGAGAGACCGCGCTGCAGGAGACAGCCCTCTCTAGCAGGTCTACAGGATGGACGCTAACTCTTTCCACACAGATCAGAAATCAGGCCTGGTGTTTTAACTGTCTTAATCCAAGAAGGCTCCAAGGCGTCTCTGTAAATTTAGCGGTCTGGCTACTGCTTCTGGGTCAGGACTGTACCCTCACAGATCGTGGTATGCCACTAGTATTATGGTGACCTCCGGGTGCCTGCACACAACCTTGGATCATCCTGATGCATAAATGTCCAGTGTCAGCTGGCCAGCAGTTTAAGACAAAACAAAACAAAACACACCATTTGATTGTGTTTCAAAGTTCAATGCGACCTGGGGGTGGGTAGGGCTAGAAACAACGATGCTATATTGGGGAGCCCATATTTGGCGAGTCTGCTCTTATAGAAATTTTATGAGAACAGATTAAAAATACATTAAGCCAATTGGAAGGTTGTGCTAGCTTAGAAAATGTGCATAAATCCTCGAAAGGATTTCAGACAGGAGGTCTACTCACTGCTGGTACTAATCTCAAAACCAGCCTGATTCTGTAATTTCCAGTGAAAAAGAAATGTATTAGAACTGGAACTCCAAAGGAGATGTTTGCATTTATTTACACTTTCAATCATTTGTTTTTATTTAAATCAATGAAAGAGACTATGGAAGGGCCCACTGCCCTCTCCCGTGTTTGGGGACAGAATGATGGGAACTGACATTGGCCTTATGGTGCTCTTCCCGTTATGGGCAGCGGAAGGAAGAGTTCGCTGCTGGTCTCCTCTTCCAGGAAGGCTCTCGGCTTTCCCTGGCTTCTCTGAGAGTTTGAGAGATCAATGTCCTGGTGCCACCTCAACATAAATGACAGCTGAAGAGCACACAGGTGCTCAGGGTAGTGCCTGGAAAGCTGCTAAGCTGAACATGCCTAGGTAACTTTTTTTTTCCACCAAGCCAAAATAATTGAAATCCCAACCATCCGTGGAATTGTATTTTAGAGGGGAGCCAATGAAGTTCTTGCCTTGGCCAAATGGAATTCCGAAAGCCCATTATGACCTTTCCAGACAGCCTGCATACCGTGCCACCCTGATGAATGAATGCTAGGATGGGCCAGGGCAGTCACCAGCCCTGTAGTGACACAATGACAGAAGCTCTTCTTAGGGGAAGCTGGCTCTATGCACGTGTTTGCCATTTTGGTCAGTAACTCAACACATCATTTCAGTGCCATGGTCTCACTTATTTAAAACTTACATAAAAGTATGTTAGTTGTCAAGAGATATAGAAACCCAATACCAGAAGTGTTCTCTGCTTCAGAAAAGAGATCAAAACTTTATAAAAAGGCAACAAACATTTAAAAAACATGAAAGTAACAACTGTGAATTAGTTTTACCTAATCACCACGCACCTTATGCACATACTTACCCGAACCCTGAGCTCCAGCTCACTTATACACACTGCAAACACACAGTGCAAGCAGCACTACCGCTCCGATGCCTCGAGGCAGATGTGTAGAGAACAGATTCAATCAAAGTCTCAAGTGTAAGGCAGCATAGCAGGTGTGAGAAACAGGTGCCCGGAAAACCGTGGGGCTGTCAAAGGCTCTCATACCCGTGCTGCTTTAGCACAGACTAGGAAAAACACCATAGCTGCCACCCCAGCATTCACCACACACTTAAAACCATAGACCAAAACCCGAAAGGAACTCCACGTCAGACTCTTAAACACCTCGACCATATTCCAGTTTCTTGAGGACTCATGGGCCACAGAACCATCCAACATGTGATATCATGTCTCCGATCGCGGGCCAGCTCGCCGGCCTGTGCCACACAACACCACTCTTGCCCACTCACAGCACTGCCAAGAAACACTTGCCCGGACCCGGCCTGAGACGGTCATTTCACATCAACACACGACCACACAGTACGGTCCTGTCTGCGCAGGGCCAAAATCAGTTCAGTTGCATCCCCGCCCTGGGAAAGCAAATCAAGTCCATTTCTTTCTCTGGCAACACTGCACCCTCATCCCTCTGGCTGCTGACAAGCCAACCATTCTCTCCAAAAGTCTCTGACCCCTTTTGATGGACCTGGAGCTCTCTCCAAGGTTGCCAGCTAAGCCAGAGGTGAGTACAACCCCTGCAACGGAACGAGAGGGTTAGAGCGGCCGGGGCCGGGCCCCTGGAGACTGCCAGAAAGGATGGTTAGAACTTACTGGTCCACTGAAGCCAGCCAGCTGCGTGATCATCAGGCACACGATGGACAGGATGAGCCTGGTGCGGCAGAAGATCCACACGACCCTTCGCAGGGACGCAGCGTCTGGCCCGGCTTCTTTCAGCTCTTCTTGCCACAGTCTCTCTAATCTTAACAAGGGCACAGTCCTCCGTTACCCATCTCCCCAGTGGGAAGCCACACCCCCTCGCCTCCCTCCTGACACCCCTTTTTGTCTCCAGTTGCTGTCACCACTCACACAAGCCTCCTCTTAATAAGGTTCTGTGCGTGCTCGCTCACCTTCTGAGGACCGACTGCCCTCTGCGGGTAACTATGCATCTGTCCTGCTCGGGGAACCCTTTCTGTACCCTGCTCAGCACACGGAAACTGAGGCACACACAAGCCTACCTCCCACCCCACAAAGGGATCTAGCCCAGAATATATGAAGCTGGTCTGTGGGTCCAAATGTCCTTTCTCAAGGGACCCCCCAGCCCTTTCTGAAGGCTCCTGGGATGCAATGCACAGTTGTAAACTAGATTTTAATCATGACAATCGGCTACCACAAAAATGTATTCTGTCACAAGGCAGCGACATAATCTCCCGCAGACTCAGGAAGAGAAGCGGGGCTGAGAGAGAGAGAGAAAGCCCGTGGTTAAAACAGGATTAAAGTGAAATAGGAGATACAGAAGAGCAAAGAGGAAGCCATCCCCAGGGGACCCTCCCGCCCCTGGACTGCTCAGCTCTTTAAAGGCCACTGCTGGCCCCACACTCCTAGCTCAGACCCTGTGGGCCCGGTGGGTAGACCAGCGACACCTACCTTCGACAGTTCACGTCCGAGGACTCGAACTTGGACAAAGACCACACGTCCTCCATTAAGAGCTCCCCCTTCTTATGGGCCACACGGGCCAGGGGAGAAAGCCAGGAGAAAGTCATACAGGAGAACAGCCCAGCATTGTCCACGGGGTGCTGGTGTCTAGGGAGAGAAAGCCCAAGTCACAAGGCTATTAGCACATGTGGGCAGGCCAGCGGCATTTCAAACATGCTCTCTGGTCCACGAATCCCCTGACCAAAGACAGGCCATCCCAATCTCTTCTAATCTTCACCCGAATGCTCTAAATGGCTTTGGCTACTTCAGCTGTGAACGGCCGACAGGAAGGGCCACTTACTTGGAAGTGGTCCGGATGGGCTTCAGGGTACTCAGGCCATGGTGGTACTTTCCCTTGGGGTGCTCCTCATCCAGGATTCTGAGCTGAGAGTGCATGGAGGCGTCCAGGGACAGGCCCTCTGCTCGGGCTGCCGTTTCCAAGGCATCCTGGCATTCCAGCTGTGCCAGCAGACAGGGAGTGAGGCGAGAGCAGTTAAAGGACATTGGACGGGCAGGAGAGAGGCCCAGCTAACTGACTGAAGAGCGCAAACCTCAAACTGCTCCATCTTAACTAAGAAATTCCAAGGGATACTTGTGTTGTACATTCTAAAATTTACAATATATACACGGATATTTTCTTAAAAAGACTTACTATTTATTTGGAAGACACAGTAATAGAGAGGGAGAGACAGAAAGATCTTCCATCTGCTGGTTCACTCCTCAGAGGGCTGCCAATGGCTGGGGCTGGGCCTGGCCTGAAAGCAGGAGCCAGAAATACCATCCTGGCCTCCCATGTTGGTGGGAGGGGCCCAAGCACTTGGACCATCTTCCATCGCCTTCCCAGGTACATCAGCAGGAAGCTAAACTGGAAGCAGAGCAGCAAGTGCTCTGATATAGGAAGATGACATCACAAATGGTGGCTAAACCCACTGCACCAAAATGGCAGCCTCTCAAAAAAAATTTTTTTTAAGATTTTATTTATTTGAAAGGCAGAACTATACAGGCTGGGGGGAGACAGAGACAGAGAAAGATTGATTGATCTTCCATCCGTTGGTTCACTCCCCAGATGGCTGCAACAGCCAGGGCTTCACCCCAGTCTTCCATATGGGTGGCAGGCACTCAAGCACCTGGGCCATCTTCTGCTGCTTTCCCAGCTGCATTAGCAGGGACCTGGATTGGAAGTAGAGCAGCCAGGACTCAAATATGAACCCATATGGGGTGCTGGTGTCACAGGCATCAGCTTAACCCACTGTGCCACAACACTGACCCCTAAAATTTGTTTTTAATCATCAAAGTGTTTTATCTTCTGTTTGCCAGTGTGGGTTGAGAATCAATTATTTCACTACTACCTGCAAATTCTATGGCCAATTTTCTATGACAAAAATTTCACAAGCAGCCCTGCCATAGGGAAAGAGCCAGGATACACACTGGTCTCTCTCTCATCAGCAACAGGAAGAGCAGAACAAGGGCTTTCTCCCAGCTACAGAGCTAGAGAGCTCCACTCCCTCACCGTGACTTTTTTGAGGATCTCATAAACTGAAATACAAAGTCACATATAAAGCTCATAACGTGAATTAATTAGATAAACAAAACTACATGGAATTCAAGATCTGACTGGCAGAAGAAGGTAGACCACGAATCTGGACACACCTATCCTCATTTACCCTAAAATCAACTCAAAGTTTGTGCTTTTCTGTGGCAGAGTCTTTATGTTCCACAATCTCCCCATTTTCCTTTCTCTCTGGACAGTGTAACTCACATCATCACAGATATTTCCAGCAATTACTGAGAAACAGTAATGAAGAACAGGCCCTGCAAGCCAAGAGAGAGCTCAGCAGTGCAGCAGACACAGGGAGCCTTGCACAAAACCACCTCTTTGCCACAGAGGCAACCATATCTTAGTAGGGTAGATGAAAGGGTCGAGTTGGTGCACAGGGGCCACCTAGATGCCTGACATCAAGGTTCACGGCTTAGTCGTGTACCTTTAGACAACTGCTTGGTATCGGGGAAGTGCCCAGCCCTGGGAAGCACAATCACTTCATTCTGACAAAGGAAGTGATTAACAGCACAACACGAAAAATCAGTCAACATCAAGAAAAGAATCCATTCTTACACAGGCCTCTATGTGTAAGGCGAACACTTAATTTAGTGGTTAGGAACTATGATATTTTATAATGAACTAAAGATTGCCGAGATTCAAGCACACAATAAAGCTTTGTCTTACTTTTATGCTGCATATAATTAAAAAAAAAAAAAACCCTATTGAGTTGAGAAAGGAGAAACAAACACTAAAAATGCAAACCCATCTAGCGTGAGTGGATACTGGGACTGTATACAGAGCAGGTACAGAAAGTTAAGAGGGATCAGCCTTGTTTTGACAGCCAAAGCTTTAGAAGACAAAAGACTAAAGAACATTCACGTCTTGGAAGGCATTACAAAATCCGATTCGATTTTCTCCTGATATCAGCCTTTGCCATGTCACTGCATTGCAGATTAATGACTTGCAGTTGTAAGTTGGGTGGAAGCTATTAAATGACATGGTTAAATGGATATTTTATATTAACCAATGTTAAGCATACATTCAGGGGGCATTAATTACATTCATAATGTTGTACAACCATTGCTACTATTTCCAGAACAAATGGATTTTAAAATCCAGAAATTTCCTTTGGACTTCAATGAGATCCAAAAATCACTGCTGGAACCATACTTGGGGCTTGGAAAACATATCCACTTTGGATTTGTTTTGGGATGGAGATCTGACACCTTGTTTTAACTTTGGACAACATGAGAAGTATACAGAACAGTTTGACATTATTAATGATTCAAACATTAGTTACCACCAAAATCACTATGGCAACTTTTTACGTTCCCACCAACAATGTACGCGATCCAATATCTCCACATCCTCATTAGCAATGGATGTTGGCACCATTCTTTAGTTCAGCCATTCTAATAGGCGTGACATGCTGTGCCCTGTGGATTACACCTACACAACCTCCCAGGATGAAGGATGCACTGCATCTGTACTTATTTGCTACCCACAAGCTTTCTGGTAAGGTAGCTATAAAAGATTTTTTTATTTACTTCCTAAGTGGATTATTCTTTTAGTGCTGAATTTATTTTTATTTGTTTAAAGATGTACTTATCTGAAAGGCAGAGTTACAGAGAGAGAGAGACAGAGACAGAGACAGAGATAAAGGTCTTCCATCCACTGGTTCACTCCTCAAATGGCCACAATGGCCAGGGCAGGGCCATGCTGAAGCCAGGAGCTTCATCCAGGTCTCCTACGTGGGTGCAGGGACCCAAGCACTTGGGCCATCTTCCACTGCTTTCCCAGGCACATTAGCAGGGAGCTGGATTGGAAGTGGAGCGGCAGGGACTTGAACTGGTGCTCATGTGGGATGCCTGTGCTACAGGCATCTACCTTCTACACCACAGTGCCAGACCCTGAATTTATTTTGTTTTATTTATTTACTTATTTGAGAGCAGGGAAAGAAACAGTGCATATGCTCCCCATCTGCTGGGTTACTCCCCCGACGCTGGCAAGAGCATCACGCTGGAATAAAAGACAAAACCAGAACTCAATCCTGAGCTCCCATGTGGATGGTGGGGACTCAACCACTTGGGCCATCACTGCTGTCTCCCAGGTCTGCATTAACAGGAAGTAGGAAGCAGGAGTCAGGAGCTGAGGCAGGTATTGAACCTATGAACTCCAATATGGGACATGGGCATCTTAACCACCAGGCCAAATGTCCCCCCAGTGTTGAGTTTAGAAAGTGCTTTATAGGCAAGCGCCGCAGCTCACTAGGCTAATCCTCCGCCTTGCGGCGCCGGCACACCGGGTTCTAGTCCCGGTCGGGTCGCCAGATTCTGTCCTGGTTGCCCCTCTTCCAGGCCAGCTCTCTGCTATGGCCCGGAAGTGCAGTGGAGGATGGCTCAAGTCCTTGGGCCTTGCACCCCATGGGAGACCAGGATAAGTACCTGGCTCCTGCCATCGGATCAGCGCGGTGCGCCCGCTGCAGTGCGCTGGCCGCGGCAGCCATTGGAGGGTGAACCAATGGCAAAGGAAGACCTTTCT